TATAATACCTCAGTAAATACCCCACCCGTAAAAATTTAAGCTTTTATGTGTCTTAAAAAAGACGGTTGTTAACAAGTGGCTAAATGAGACTACAGAACGTTATCATGTCGAGCACAGCTTTACAGTTATGCTGTGGGGGCAACGGTAAGACATGCAACCGTGGTGTAGTTCTTTTATGGCCTAACGTTAGCTTTTTACTTCTAGAGATTGCGTTAAGGCTTCAGGAATCATAAAAATAATTCATTTGTGAAGTTTATCTTGCTGAACAAAATGTGAAAGTATCATAAACCTTTGTTTGCCAGTTAATCTCAGTCAGCCAAGGAGCTGACTTCTAGTTCGGCCCTCTGCCAACTTATATGGGGACAACAATGATTTAATCGTGTGGCTCTTTAGATTTTAGAAATGTTATCGGACAAAAATGAATCAAATAGTGACAAAGAAACAAGTTATTTTGAGGGGGTCGTGATGCTCAGAAAAAATATCCACTGATTTACAGACAGTCTCTTTCACAATGTAAGTCTATGGAATAAAATATTATTGGGCCCAAAAGAGTGCTCTAGGAATGAGTCCTAAAACACAGAAATGAGTTAGCATTTAGTATTCCTGGTTCCCTCATCTGGAAGTTTTTGGGCAAATGCCTAAAATCAGGTTGGTGGTTAACACAAGCTTAAGAGAGGTTTATGTTTCATTCTGCAACATATGATATGTTAGTAAATACCCCACTCATGAATTTTGAAGCTTTTGTGTGTCTTAAAAAAGGTGGTTGCTGACAAGGTTAAACGAGAGTACAGAACATCATCATGCTGAACACAGCTTTACAGTCTCGTAAAGATTAACTTTTTACTTCTGAAGTGTGCATTTAGGCTTCAAAATCGTAAAAGTGATGTTCATTTGTGAAGATTATCTTGCTGAACTATTGTTTGCCACTGGGTTTATTTTCTGCAATAATCCGAAATCAAGCAGAAAAATCCCATCGGCACTGGCCTCTAGGAAAACGTCATCCCTTGAGCACTCTATTACTAAACACAAAGAACAGCTATGGCTGATAGGTCGTAAAGGGTGGACCGACTCTTTTCCCAGTATCAGTTCCTTTTAGTTGAGACATGTAAACTTATTGAACCTTTCAAACCTTTAGGGTTTTTGCAAAATATGTGGTCAGTTTTTCCTAATTCATCATGTACAATCATTGCCAGTCATCATGTATAAGTTCACGTTAATGATAATGGAATATTCATTTTAATTCATTGACTCAGCTTCCACTTGTATCTAGGTAGGCTATGTAAGTTATTATTATCAATGTGTTGTTTAAACGCTCTGAGCAAAAAATACAACACATCTTTGTAGCATCAATTTTTTTCACTTTAGAACTTAAAGCTCATGAACACACTGAAGTTGGACAAACCACCATTCAAGGAGTATGTGGATGCACCATTGGCATTGGCTCATGGAGGTCTTGACTTGATTCCGATTCAACTGCTTCTCATTCACTCACCATGGCAGGAAGTGTGAGCAGTACATTACGATAATAGTGACTGGCTGAGTGGATAAAGTAGGGGACTCATGAGCACTTGGATGTTAAATAGGTTGATGCATACATACTGGACACTAAAAAGAGTAATTCAAAAGGATTTATTTGTTCATTTTTGCCCGTCACAACTGATGGGAATGTTAAAATCAAAATACTGGGTAAATATAAGAATGTTGAAGAGCTAGGGGATCAGCACAGTCTTTGGAATGTATCCTCTGGGAAGCCATGAATGTCCATACAATGGGTGGACTCTGTGTGACATCTAAAAGGAAAGTAGACCTCAAGATAAACAGCCTGCACATTTCTGTATATTTTATATTCTGATATTCTGTGTTTGTTACTATTTATTAAAATGAAAACTACATGTCCTGGTGGCTTTAGAGGATATTTGTACTTTTGCCCTCTCTGACACCCATCTTTTCTTTCACTCAGGAGACTAGTATTTTCATCTTAAAGTCAATATTTACTTCTTTTAACAACGTAGCCTGGTATGCTAGTATGTGTAGCATGCTACACTAGTGATGTATGTCACGTGACACACTTTACATTACATTAGTGACAAAAGTTCCTATTTAAGGGCCAAACCACAATGTTTTTCCCAAACCTAACCTACGTAGTTTTTTGCCTTAAACTTACCAAGCAGTTTTGAAATTGAACTGCCACAGTTTAATGACATTAAGGATGTGTAATGTTGGCAATATATCTCATTTTCAGTGTTAACTACATTTTTCAGTAGTGTGGCAATATCGTCACTACTTTCTGAGTCAACTAGCTTAACAGTAGAGAAGTTCATTAATTGATCAAGTAGCGTGATAGCGTCCATAAAAGTTACGAGTTATTTTTCCCAGCAAAAGCTCTGAACTGCAGCTGATTTTTTTTCTGCCGAGGTCTAAATGAAAGTAAGAATAATACAGTTCAGGATAAGTACTGTGACTGACGCCAGCAACACACTGAGGCATGTAAACAAGGGAAGCACTTCCGTATGACATCACTTACTAATCCTAGTTTATTCTGCTTGCTGCTTCGCTATTGGCTTTTCTTGGCAAGACCTGCCCTACTTTGCCTCTGATTGGCTACATTGCGCTTCTTGACATGCCTCTCACATGTGTTGCCCATAGACTGTATATATTAAGTGCATTTGTAGTGGACACTAGAGAAATAGACACAAGGGCCGAGAAAAGAGCTAAGGAGACAGAGGGCAGTATTAAGAAGGAAGAGAGGAGAGAGAGAGTGACATACTAATGTCACATGTTATTTGCAGGACATGTTCATGTTCTAATGTCCCAAAAAAAGAAAAGTTTCAATTTAGGTCTGTTATTTTTACTGTTTTTATTACTGTCTATGGTTTTATTGACTGAAAATACATTTTGGAATTCTGTTTTTGAATTAGTGATGTAGCCAGATAGCCTACTGTAAAAGACCAAGACAGAGAAATGCATGAAGTAGGAGGAGGAGAGAGAAAGAGAGAGAGCAATATGCTGACTGATGATGTCATGTTATTGGAGGACATGTTCAAATGTCACAAAGTCTTCAGAAAAAAAAAAAAGAAATGAAGAAAGTTTTAATTTAAGCATGTTATTTTAATGTAAACAGTTCAACTGAACATTTTTTTGCCTGCCTATTTGTTTGGCTGACAGTTTTTCTTATCACTTTCTTATCACAGAGAAAACACTGATTTGACATAAAGCATAAAGCTACTTTTGCCATTTTCTCATAGCTTAGCGTGTTACATTTCTCTGGAGATAGCTTCAATGTAGTGAAAGTTTATTTTGATGTAGAGTAGCCTAACTAACAGCTTAGCTCAATACATTTTCCAAGCAGCTTGCCCAACAGTGGTCGTGTTTGGGCTGGTCATATAAGATGTTTTGGAAGTCAGTGAAAATTAGCCTTTTCTGAGAGCGCTGTATAAAGAGGCTCACAGTCTTTTTGCCAGTGCTTCCACATCATGAATGTTGCAATGATTTAATGATGCTTGAAGGGTAACCTTAAATCAGTCTGGTGGCCTCTGCGGAAACGAACGAAATTACAGATATTTTTAAGATCAATCAGTCTCTGTAATGTCAGCCCTCATCTTTTGGCACAAGTTCAGTATTCATTTCCTGCAAACATCCTGCAACACTTGTTCAAGTGTGAGTTGAGGGCGTAGAGAGGAACTAAACAATAAACATGGAATACCACTCATCTCTGGTTTAGGACTACTTGCCATGTGGCTGTGGTTGGAGGCATAAACACTTTGTTTCCTTTTTGTGATGGGCTACCGGACGTCTGAAAACACCACTGACCCCAAGGAGAGAGACAGAAACACACAGCTGTTATCTTTTAGTTTGGGTTAAAAGTTATCTTTACCCTTTAGTGTTGAATAAGTCTGTGATAAGCAGAGTAAAAATATCAGATTATCATGCTGGTGCCAGATAAGAAAAGAACTGGCACACTTTTCCTTTCAAAACAACATAGCATACTTTAAAACCTTTTTAAACACAAGAGATCCTCACAAAATTGAAAGGAAAAGGTCAGCATTTTGGGAAATACACTTCTCTCCAAGAGTTTGGCAAACAGATTGACACCACTTTCATAACTGTTGAGTCATAATGAAGCTGGAGGCAGGAGACAGTTAGCTTAGTTTAGCTAGATTAGCTTAGCTCAACATAAAGACTAAAACAGAGGAACAGCTTGTCTGGCTCTGTTAGTAGATTTTTGTTACCTTTTAACAGCATTATGGAAGAATGACTTAATTCCTGTAAAAATGAAAAGTTGAATTTATTAAAAAAACAAACAAACATTAAAACACATTCTTACACATATTAACATTGCCCACTACAGCCCTACGCAGTATAGCGTTACCATTAGCTTGTTCTGGCTAATGTAAGCAACTTTTTAGGTAGGTATTGCTGTTCAAATGACATTACTGAGTTAGTTCGCTGACTGTATGTGCAACTATAGCATTATGTTTTCCCATTTATATGCATTTTCTATAATGGAGCTCTATTTCATGGGAAGCCTGGGGCCGATGTATTTTACGCAGAAGTTTCCTGTAATTTTTTGCATGTTCAGCAGCTTGTCCAACTGTCTTAAATACTCTAGGTAATGCTTGCAATTTACCAGAATGAATTAGGCTACTTAAAATAAAGCACTTTTTGAAATACACATTTAATCCACCCTGAAATTTGACTACATTTCAAATTTCTGACCATAATTTAAGACAAAATCTAGCTGGTTTGAGGCGACATTTTTGGATGAAACCTTTAACATAACTTCATACTCCTGTTTGAAACTACATTTAACTGTCATGTTTGTTCTTTACTGTTATCAATTTTTTTCTCGGCCCACGTGAACCTATAAACTTTGTACCCCATTTTGGCATTGATTCCAGGGTGGAAAGCTTTGAAGGTCCGAGCATCAACATTGTTCCACTAATGGTAGAACAATGTTTACTCTGTCCTCAAACATGATTGCTACAGCCACTGTGCGAGAACACTGCATGGTTGGTAACATTAGTCACACAAGCAAACATGCTCACATACACAGCTTTCTCTCCCACACACCAACCCCAGGAAAATACCCTTTAAATATACGTCACAGCAGTCTGTGGTACTTGGGTGAACACTGTAAACACTTTGGTTTTTAGTGAGTCGGCGAATATATAAAGAGTAGAGGAGGAGACATATTGGAACAAGGACTTAAAAGACACTTGGAGGCCTGATCATGAGTTGACTCTACTGCATCAGTAAGTGAAATTCTAACTGCTCAATATTTACACTTTCTCTGTATCTTCATGACACTGTAAATCTGTTGTATCAGGGTGTTAAAAGTTCTCAACTTAACTATTATTAACTAAGAAATTGCATTATGTTTCTCCAGCACTTGAAGTCTGGGGCCAAAATCTATTGATCTTTATTATCAGTCCATTGTCAGTAATCTTTGATTGCATCTGTTATCTTTGTACACAATGTATTTGCTATTTATTGCCCGTGATGGGTTTAAAGTCTGTGTCATAAAAAAACACCTTTCATGTGTTAAGCCTGAGTTGCTGAGAGTGTTTCATGTACACAAACATTTTACCTGAAGGAGTATTTCTTTTGATGGATTTCCTGACTGTATTTCTTGGTCAAATTTGGCTTGCGTATCCTGTATCCTGTAATTTTTGTTCCGCTAAATGTCCTTGTTGGGCATCTATATTGTATCTCTCTCAACATTTCCATCTGTCTAATCAAAGCTAACCTATCCAGTATGTGCCAGAGGAGATAACAGTATACAATAGAGTGATGCATAAGTGTTGGAGGTGTTGCTCTCAGTTCATTAAGATTTACTGTGATGCATTTTAGAGGGTACCAGTGCAAATAAGAAAAAGTGAAAGAGTTCATAACATATGGTTAGCATGCCGTTATTATGCAGCTTGCATTTCATTAAAAAAAAAAAAACATATTTTTTATGAACCGGGTGTCTATAGTTTGAATAAAATATTGTTCTGTTGTAATGTGAGAGAGAATACAAAAGCATTGTTTGTGTATGTAGAATACATAAGACCTTCACCACCATCATCACCAACAGACCATCCCTGGTGGTGAGATTAAAAGTGCATTTTGGTTCTCAGTATAGAGCATAAAAGTGACATAGCCAGTGGATGAGTTACATGGTAGTTTTTTAAAGAGGCACTCCAGTAATTTAGGATCGTATTTCCGTACAGTTAGGTGACTTCCAGTGTACAAAATGGTTCAAACTGTTGCAGGAGATGCTAAAATATCCTGACTTTTTGTTCAAAGGTGTATTTATTTAGACTTACCCTGTTCGGTTAAAACTTGTGTTTTCAAAACTACATACTGCAGTTTGTAATGTGGGTTTTAAAAGTCTCCAAGTCCAAGCTGAGAAAACACTGATGTTCATCAAAGTTATGTTCTCATTCTTTTGGGTTACATCCACACTTAAATGTTTTTGTTTGAAAACACACAACTACTGCTACAGTTATGCCTAGCGTCCACACTTCTCCACTATTTTGGGACCCCTAAAATGGAAACCGTTGAAAATGCTGCTTACCTTGTTTGAGTTTGAAAAAGCAGGTGTTGCATTTTAGTCTGAACGGGCAGAAATGACTTACAGAAAAAATGACGCAGACCATCACGTTCACTTCCCGATTGGGTCTTCTCAGTCACAGCTTGTCAGGACAAAACAGTATTGCTAGGTCCACATATCTTTTGTAATTTTATCCTTTTCTGCGTAGGTACTCCTTTACTATTGTCATGGGTTCCTCTGATGATGGATAATGTGCCCAACCAGTACCACTCTTATTTTGCCATATTTGCATTGTACCGACTCCCAATATGTTTTCCTCCACCCTGCCTGTCTTATACTCATGCTACTTTTAATAACAGTTCAACCTCGTTGTTGGTCCATGCAAAGAAATCTCTGGTCTTACTTTCCATCATCTCCATAGTATTTTTTTTAATAGATTTCTAAGTTCTTAATACTTTAACAATACACAAATGACGACGATGAAAACAACATAAATCATAATAAAAGTAATAGTAGTAATGATAATAATGTTAAGAAATTACAAGATACGTAAAGGATAACAAACTGCCAGCAAAAGGAAAGAGAGTACAATTATACAACGGTTTGTACTATGTCCATCTCTATAGTACTTTCTGTAACTAAGCAACCAACCACAGAGTTGACAATCTGCTTCCTGTTTACTGTATGCCTCAACGTGCATGCCTAATGTACAGCCTAATATCATGTATGGTCAATTGATATGATTATGATGTTTTCAGGTGCTAAAACACTTTTACACCCGTTTACAGAGATCATTTTTAATTTTAAAACAGAAACAGAAACCTAATGTGTAGTAGCTCTTAGAGAGCTCCTCCAGAGCCACAGATGATACCATACAACTGTCAGACATTTGTGTCTCTTTCATTTTCTCCATCTTTCCCTGTTGGGCTACAATTCCCAAAGGCCTCGATTTCATTCTAACATACAGCAGTAGCAATAGACAGATAGATAGTGTATGTTTTTCTCAGCCTTATGTAAATAGGATGACTATCAGAGCAGAGACCCTACAGTGTTGCAATGTCAAGCAGATTACTTTCCTGACTTCACATCCCCTCTATCTGTCTCACCAAATCCTGTTCACACCAGCAGGACAGTCCAGGACACTGTGTACTGAAGCTGCACGTTGTTCTTGTTCTCTGCTTTCTTTTTTGCTTTCATTTGTAGTAAGAGTACATTCTCTCCTGACTGATAAGCAATGGATATGGCAAACATACACACAAAGAAACATATCTGATGATCTACAAATGCAAAAATTGGATTGTTACATCAGGTCAGCAAAATCCGGTGGAATCTCAAGACAGAACCGAACTTTGCTTTGCGACCCACCACTTTCAGTGTGTTGCCTCTGCTGCTTAGTCAAACAAAGCTGAAGCAGTTGAAGAGGAACCGTACACTAAATTATTTTTTCCCACATAACTACATAGATTCTTGTTGGCATGTTATTTAATAGACCTCCAAGTATAAAGTGCGTAACACTAGCAAACTGAAAGTCTAATTAATGCCTCTGACGCAAAGCTGCTAGTTGCTTTCTTCTGCAGTAGCAGTAAACACAACACACAACCCTATGCCAAATATGACATGTTTAAGTGACCAAAACATTATAATTAACTTTCATGAACTGAATACACACTGAAATGGTGGCAGCGGCGGCAACGCTCATATGCTACTCTCTGAGTCCGAGGTCACACCATGGTTTCATTACCTGCATTACCTTGTCACCAGAAGGCACCTACCAGTCATTCAAAGCAGCTCGGCCCTTAATTATACATAACTTTAAGCCTTGATAACATTTAAATGGGTGAGTTATATAGAAATTCACCCCCCTTCCAGTAGTCATGAATGGCGAAACTAGAGACCAAAACCCACACAGTGCCTCTGTGACAGGGGACAAGGGACAAAGGGACACAAATGTGTTGCTAGAGACTGTCAAAGCTCCACTAGACTCTGTGGCTGTGTCTGAAATCATTCACTTATCCCTACTCACTACATAGGGAGGTCTGTGTGGAGCACTATGTAGTGAGCTCATCTTGTAGTGACCATAGACTGTATGGTAGTGACCCAGCTCGCTAGCATTAGCTAGCCTTATTAGCCCTGCGCTGTACAGTATTTGTTAAGCACTAGAGAGGATTAATTGCCAATTTATTCGTAAATCTTCGGGGACCAACGACTATATGTTAAACTGACAACTTATTGCATGGCAAAGAAACTGATAATACTTATAATAGGTTAAACATGTACAACAGGTTGTAATCGAGCCGCTCTCTCTCCTCTTGTCTGTCTCTGTGTCCATCCCACACAGTCTGCTCCTTTGGCTCAACATATAATGGGATATATTGCTTGGTTAGTGACCATTGGTTTTAGACTACTTTTCACAATACATTGTAGGATACTTTGAGTCTACTATATAGAGTATAATAAATCCCACTATACATTTGAACAGCTCTGCAAAATGGCTAGCCCACTATTTAATGGACTATATAGTGAGTAGTGAGTGATTTTAAACACAGCCCTAGTCACTACAGCAGAGACTCAAAGAGTCTGACATAAGCCTCTACAGTTCTGGCTAAATCTGGACTCTGTCATGCTGTAATGCATTCCTCATAGTTTAAAAAAAAAAAAAAAAAGAAAAGAAATCACATAAAAAAAAGAACCCCCCCCCAAAAAAAGACGCCACTCTATATAAAAGAAGAATATAGCTCTCACTCCAAAAATGGTTGGGGGAGGGGTTTAATAAATGGTCAGTTGCAACTTGCAAGATAATTTGCAAAGGAAAACAGGTGTGTTCTGTCACATAACCTATAATTTGATTTATTTTAATTACAGATAGTTGTGAAAAATTATAGGATAACATATTCATATTTCGTGTTTTGTGTACATTAATTTTGTTTATAGTGAATGCAACACACATGCACATGCCTGCACAGTCCATAAAGATATTGTTTCCTTCAGTCTCCTTTTTTGTTTGATCAAGGGAAATAAATGCATACCAAGTGGAAAGTGGCTGACCTTGGTCATTGATCATTATTCCAGCATTCATTTATCACTGAGCAAGGTGTGACAGAACAAAGGCTGGCCGAAACCACCTGATCATGGCCATTCGATCAAATCACGTGGGTTAATTTATTATAGTCATTTTTATGAGGTCGCATCCACAGTCAGAACTTCACACATGATAACAAATTCGCAGGTAAAAAAAAACATGTGCATTCACAATTATGCACCATTTGGAAAACGTCCATTCAGATCTCCAAAACCGGAGACTGGATTTTCACAAAGAGATGTATTCATGCATCTGGGGTCTCACACACACACACACGCGTGCGCGAACATAAAAACACACATGCACACATACATTTCCCATGAACCTGCCCTGAACTGTGCTTGATCCTGGGCAAACAACGGGGGCAGGCAGGCATTACTTCCACTTAATTCTGAGTAGACACTTCGATAAGACTGCCCTGAAACCAGTAAGCAGCAACCCCCCACCCCCCGCGCACACCTTAGGCTCCTACAGTTTCTGCTCTTTCTTATCAGTTTGGTAGGTGTTGCCTTAAATTTGAAGAAAGACTTTCTCTTTCCCGTTAGCTCTCTGTTCTGTCAACTTTGTGGAGGGAAAACATTAAAAGGTCAGTTCAGTTTTTAAAATGATTCATCAGTTTTGACCTGCAGTGTTGTTTAATCACACACTCGATAAATAGATAGCTTTTTGGAATGATACTCTTGCATTCAGCAATTATTTGCTTCAAACAATCTCGGTTCCTGCAGACTATTTTTACCCTTGATGTGCACTGCACAGTGCTGCAGCCGACCTTTATCGGTGTTTCCCATCCTGAAAAGCTACTTGATTTCCACTTCATAACAATGACCTGCCCTGTCCTGTCCTGCCTGCCCCGTCCACATCCTCCCTATCCTGCACATCGGTACAATATCTTCCAAATGCTCTTTGGGGGCGGAAAGTCTCCACTGAAAGTTGTGGGTTGAAGATATCAGTAAGAACAATGGTCAAGGATAAGGCAGGAGTCCAGTGGTTGTGCGAAACAGGGACTTCATCATAATTGCTGTTAATAATTACAGTTGTGATAAGCGTCAGAGGTGGCATTTATTGATGGCAGAGTCGTCTGAGGTCCCAGTTGATCTCCAAGAGCGGGAGGTGGAAGAAGGAAGAGTGGAGAGCTTGGATTTGAGACAGTTAAGGACACTGTCAGGTATGTGGGACAACCTGCTGAACTTTTCATGAGGATATAAATGTTACTGGAACAAGGAAATGTTCCTTTTTTTGAGCTTTTGGGTGTGAAGTCTTTGAAATCAGATGATCTTCATGAGCAGCAGGAATTCCAGAGGTGCTGATGTATTTTGGGTTTGAGTTGATCTCAGAAAAGTTAGGAACACATTTCAGTGGTAAAATTTAAACCAAGCCTCTCTGGTGTTTTTGTTTAGAGCTCAAAGAGCCTGACAAATCCCCCCTGCCCCAGGACAGTGCAGGTACTGACCTGGCTCTTGTGCACTGCCTTTATTTGACAGTCTGGACCTTTGTTGTTTGCTGTTAATATTATTTGATGAGTGATGTTCAAAGACAAGACAGGACCCTCTTCCTTACCTAATGTGATTAATGAATCTCAGAGACACATAGAGAGGAAGCAGCAGTCCTCCAGGCAGCAGAGGCGAGATGATACGACCGGGAGCTCAGCAGTATGTGGTGGCCAGGCCGCTGTACTCAGAAGACTCCTTCGCAGAGGACCATGAGAAGGTGTACAGGCACCTCAAGACCATAATGGACCACATCAAGCAGTACTTCACGTAAGGAGCATGCAGTGCTTTTGGTTTTTGTTTCCCGTGTAATTTTTGACTTCATCACTGTATGATTAACCTTTTAAGCCTGTCCTTTATATAGGTTAAGATGACCAACTTAAAGGGGAGAGTGGGAGAAGTTGAGCTTCTTCTTGTTCCTTGAGTCATACTTCTCAAACTATACTTACACTTCCAGTACTACATATAGAGAAACCATCCAGTTTTTGCACAGTATCAAAGCCTACGTTTTGGCTCGGTTTTTACCATTTAATTTTAGGTGAAATTATGATGGTTGATGTAAGATTTTGTAAAGTTAAGTTTTTTGTTCTTGCTCTGCTCACTTTAGTATTAAAATAACACCGCTGCACAATGCATAAGGTCCAATCCTGTATATAACCCATAAAACACATCTTTCTGTTTGTAGAAAATGAAATAACCAAATAAATGCTGTTAATAATTTGTACTAACTTTATTTATGACTTTTCGTCCTCAGACATTCATCTGACAAAATTAATATAAAAAAGAATGCAAAAACGTAGAGATTATTGTCTTGACAGAGGTTGTCTATTAATGTTCAGCAGGATTTCATATGCTTAACAAATTCTTGTCTAAAATAAATGCTAATTTATTTTTGTCATTGTAGCAGAAAATTTAAAAAGCGGCTCATTTGACCACGCTCGTCCCTGCTAAGTGATGCTCAACTTCTCTTCTTGCTTTCCTGCCTTCACACTCATCAATATTTAGCTTTAGCTATTTTTCCACTTATATAGTCATTGGTACAGTGTGATGGCCCTTTTCCCTTTTACCCTGTTTTTGACTGATGTGTAGATGGACTGATATAAGGAATTCTTACAAAGTTTAATTACAGTGCAGTTAATCGGTTTAGATCTTGAGTCTTTTTTCATCAAATGAACGTACCTAAGAGACAGTGAGTATTCCACCCTACATTTATCTATTTAACCTTGTGTGTGCTGTTGTGCATTTTGCAGATGTGATGCCAAACGAGCTAAGAATGCAGCTCTCTCTCTCCTGCCGGTCATTGGCTGGATGAAAATGTATAGAATCAAAGAGTGGCTGCTAAGTGACATTGTGTCTGGTCTCAGCACCGGGCTGGTAGCTGTCCTGCAAGGTAAAAGTTTACAACTGCAAGTGTTTTGCTTTAAACTGAGTGTAAGGTAGAGATTTAATTCCTTCTTTAAACCAAAGCTGCAGCCTCAATGCAATGAAAGATGTCTTCATGTCACTAGTAAATATGGGGTACCAATTCACATTAGACAATACCAAACATATATTAGTCACATTCTAACATAATCTAGACGTGTCTCAGCACTATTACAGTGTCTAAAATTCCCAATTATTGGCACAATGGCAGCTGGCAACATTATCTGACTGCAGCTGTCCCCTGGCCCACAGAAGGAATGCAATATCAGTTATTATCCCAGATTGGGAGAAAAGAGGGGAAAATAACAGATTTCAACAGAAAAATGCTGCTTTAAACACACTCCGATCGGCCTGACAGTAAAATGAAGATGAAACATTTATAGTTATCAGTGGCATCATTCCCACTGCATGACCTCATCAAAGGGAGGAGACAAATGCATCTTCAATCACACAGTATTGGTATCAGTAGAAAAAAAATCCTGTGTTTGAACATTCCCAGAGGGAAAGATCTTTAGACTCTTGTCACTGATTTACCTGAAGAGTTTCTACATTATTGTTGTACAGTTCATTTGTTGTAACAGAAAGAGAATTTTTGTACTTCTTCTCAAAGCCACCCAAAAGATTAGGTGGAAGTCCTTAGATTGTATAATACAGTCTTTGAAATTGTTGTTTTGGCTTCAGCTTAACTGTATCATTAAGTCTCGTGTCTAATCTGATAATATATGATAACATTAGCCTCCCGTCTGAGTTGTTTAGAGTGATAATACGGCTATCTTTAACAGCAGGTCTGGGTTATATAAACAAGCCCTGAGGTGGTATTTTTGCATATTATATATACATTTTTGTCCTGTATCAATTAAGATTTTTGTTTTTGTAGCTCTCATTGTGGGTTAGTTTTAATTCAGGTTAAGTTTATTTAGCATGCATCAAGCTACTAGTTATTTAAAGAGTAATTCATTTCATTTGCTTTATTATATTTACAGAATGTAGCAATCCTAATGAAAAAATACATTATGAATTCCTTTATAAATGTACTGTATATGTCTTTTTTCACATCATCAAACCTATATTTCAAATGATCTCTTTTTTACTACGCACATAAACACCATTTCAAAAAAACTGCAAACATCATACTTACTTTAAGAGGTGAGATATTTAAAAGAAATCATCGGTTTATTTCAATTTCATGCCAGGTTTAAAGGTACTTTAACTTAAACTATAGTGGGTGAGGGACATGGTAGCTATGCAAGACGTCCCTTCAAACAACAGATAGAGAATCAGAATCAGCGGTGGAGCGGATGTGATTCATTATAGTCACTCAGATGAGAAGCATAGTGAATTATAGAAGTAGAAATAAGAATTATACATTACAAAGTTTGTAAAAAATAAAATATGTGCAACAATGCCATCATGATGTTAGTATTTAAAATAAAAAATATGTATATTGTGCTGAGTATGTAAAGTGTGTAATCTTTTTTAAAATATGTGCCTTATGCTACAATATAATGTATTAAACTAGTATGTAAAGTTAGAAATATGAAAAAAATGTATACATGCTACAATGTACAATACAATATATACATAAGTAGGAATAAGAATAGGAATAGCAAATATATATAATATGTGCAACATGTTAAATATAAATTCATGAGTGAATACTTACTTTTTTTTAATAAAAAATAAAATAAACTTCAAGTTATAATGGGAGCAAAAAAAAAGTATTTATAAAAAACAGAATAAACTTAGGGCACCAAAACTACTTAAGTTAAGTACATAATATAATTCAACTTACATACATAGGGTAAAATGTGTCAACATTGACTTTAGGTTTCACAATGCCCTGGAGTACCAATAGAGGTCTCCTGGGACAAAGTCCTGTTTTTGTTTGACCCATTCATCCACACAGACCTTCTCCCTGCGGGAATTTTGTTGCTCTTCACGCTATGTCACCTGACTTCCTCTTTTGCTCCCGTCATAATTACTATGGCCGCGTAGAGTGTCATAGTTCAAAGCGTAGGGCCACTGACCAGAATGCCATATTTGACAAGTCAAGTGAGAACACCCTGGACTATAGCTGCAACTATCTGATCACAAAATTGTTTAGTATAAAATGCAGTGTACCTTATCAGAGAAGTGAAGTAGAGGAAACAAGATAAACTGCTGTAAATGTGTATAATATGTGCACATTTTTGTGTGTCAGGTCTGGCCTACTGTCTACTGGCCTCTTTGCCACCCTGGTACGGACTCTTCTCTGCCTTCTTCCCTGTTGTCATGTATTTTTTCCTGGGCACCTCTAGACACATCTCAGTAGGTAAGGTTACTACTTGTGTGTATCCCCGTCCCTGACTGCTCTCAAACAGCTACAACTACATCCTCTCACTCTCCTTCTCTTTGCAGGTCCGTTCCCAGTCTTGTGTCTGATGATCGGCTCAGTGGTCACCAGGTTGGTCCCCGACGAGGGTCCGCCTGCCAACATCACAGGGTTTGAAGGCCTGACGAAAGATGAGCAGAGAGTGTTGGTGGCTTCGTCTGTGTCCTTCCTTGCCGGCATCATGCAGGTGAAACACACTCACCACAACCACAACGATTATCTCCTCAACAGCTAAATCAACAGTGTGTGGCCAGATAACTTTTATCTTGTCAACACAGTAATTAGTCACTGTATATGACATTCAGAGCATTAATACTGCAGGAAACAACTGTTTGCTGTGTAAATATTTGGTGGAGTAATGGTGTTCTGAGTAGAGAATGAAGTCACACTAACTGTGTATTGTAATTTGAGCTTTTCTGTGGTTTGTTGTGGTAGCCATGCCAGCCACACGAGCATGTTATTCTATGTGAGTCCCTGAGTTTGTCCAACTGGCTAGCTGATCGCTGCCTCTCTGCACTGTGCTCATATGGAGGTTACCTCTGATAATGCCATTCCGACCCATGACCGTTCCAACACTATTATCTCTGTCAACACTGCTGCTGTTGTTAGCACTATTTATGCAGTTAGCACCGCTAGCTGCAAGTCTCCATGTTTAAAACTGTGTGCAGACAACCCCTCCAAAAACTCTGAATCCTAGAGCCTATTTACACGTAATGATAACATGCGTTTTGGTGATGCAAACACAAGTGGACAGCCGAGGCACATCGCCGTTCACACCTATGTCTATCATGCATCTCAAGCTGACCACTTGCATTCAGCCTTTATTAATGCCTATGTCACTTACGCTCGAGGGTCAGAGGCACCAGCACACAGTTATTACATCCACACTCTTGCTAGCTGCTCGCTAGCATGCTTTCTAGTCACGTCAGTGGTTGTGTCAGTACAGCTGGAGGTATTGCTGTCAGCAGAATTCAGCCAGTCTTCTTCTATAGGGCATAACAATAGACAGTCCCACAACACTTTGTTCAACTCATTGTAAAATGGGCAAGTTGTAATGATGTCCTGCATTGATGGCGTACTTGTTGTAAGGTATGCATCAGGATGCGTTAGTATTTACACTACAAAAGTCATGTGGTCAAATGCATCCCAGACCATCTTGGCAGGTGGTTTGAGTGATCAGATCACAATGCATTTCAGTGGTCATTTACACCAGTGTACCTTGTAAAAACAGATATGTTCCTAATGTTGCTTACAGCTCCCTTAAAGTATTCTTGTGTACAAAATATGATATTGTAATCATCATCTTTAGTGTATCTTAGTCTGAATGTCCTCCAGATCTAGGCGTAGTGTTCTGTTGCAGACCCTGACCTCTCTGCAAAAGGAGGGAAAATATAGCTGGGTTTCATAACCACCACCACATCATCTTGACCTCTCTGTCTCTTCCAGCTTGCCATGGGGGTTATGCAGGTGGGCTTTGTTGTTATGTACCTGTCCGACACTCTGGTGTCCGGCTTCACCACTGCAGCTGCTGTCCACATTCTGGTATCCCAGCTCAAGTTTGTGCTCGGGTTGACTGTTCCAGGCATCAGTGGTCCACTCTCTATCATATACGTAAGTCTAGAGCAGCCTTGTTAACACACTGTTAACACAGTCAAGGAGTGTGCATCATTCATCTTTTAGACCTGACTTTTTTGTGTGTCTTTTTCAGACCCTGGAGGTGATCTTTAACAAGATCACTTCCACCAATGTGTGTGACGTGGTGATCTCCTTAGTGATCATGGTGGTGGTGTTCATTGTGAAGGAGCTAAATGACAGATTCAAATCCAAGCTGCCGGTGCCTATCCCCATAGAGGTCATCATGGTGAGTAACATTGCACAACATGATCTTTATACACATTTCCATAGCCTGAGGCACTAAGGGCTTGTTAGTTTTATAAACAGTATTATATTACGCTAACTTTGGATGTGACTTTTTATGAGTGTAAAGGAGTATCATCTATAACAATCATTAATCTGATTTATGAGATCATTTATGGCACATAAATAAAAGCATTTATGTCAGTTCAAGGAAACAGCTCACAAACTGTAAACAAGAGTTCATATTTCTCATCTTAAAACTAATGGCATGAATCAGGCCTAACAATTCCTGTCATTCCTCCTCCAGACTGTCATTGCATGTGGAGTTTCATATGCGTTTGACTTCAAGACAAAATATGGCATTGACGTTGTTGGCCCTATTCCAAAAGGGTAAGACATTTCACACTGCAGCAAAAAGCAAGGAATTTTCAATACCATCAGTGATAATTAAAATTCAAGGCCAAACACCCACGAGACAAAACACTACTCCCAGACCAGTCCCATTTTATGATTAACTGCTTGACAATCATGCCAAATGATATCAAACATGCTCTATACTTTTAGGTGCAACACAGTTTAAATTAGGCATGTCCCGATCCGATCACGTGATCTGAAATCGGGGCCAATCACGTGGTTTCAGACTTGGTCTGCAAGCTGTTTGGGTGGGTGGTGCAGGTCAAGTAGAATCCACATGAATGCCAGGACCCAAGATTTCCCAGCAGATCAATACATTGTGACGAGATGATCAACATTATTCACTTCACCTGTCAGTGGTTTTAATGTTGTGGCTGATTGGTGTACAGTACAGGCCAAAAGTTTGGACACACCTTCTCATTCAATGTGTTTTCTTTATTTTCATGACTATTTACATTGTAGATTCTCACTGAAGGCATCAAAACTATGAATGAACACATGTGGAGTTATGTACTTAACAAAAAAAGGTGAAATAACTGAAAACATGTTTTATATTCTAGTTTCTTCAAAATAGCCACCCTTTGCTCTGATTACTGCTTTGCACACTCTTGGCATTCTCTCCATGAGCTTCAAGAGGTAGTCACCTGAAATGGTTTCCAACAGTCTTGAAGGAGTTCCCAGAGGTGTTTAGCACTTGTTGGCCCCTTTGCCTTCACTCTGCGGTCCAGCTCACCCCAAACCACCTCGATTGGGTTCAGATCCGGTGACTGTGGAGGCCAGGTCATCTGCCGCAGCACTCCATCAGTCTCCTTCTTGGTCAAATAGCCCTTACACAGCCTGGAGGTGTGTTTGGGGTCATTGTCCTGTTGAAAAATAAATGATCGTCCAACTAAACGCAAACCGGATGGGATGGCATGTCGCTGCAGGATGCTGTGGTAGCCATGCTGGTTGAGTGTGCCTTCAATTTTGAATAAATCCCCAACAGTGTCACCAGCAAAACACCCCCACACCATCACACCTCCTCCTCCATGCTTCACAGTGGGAACCAGGCATGTGGAATCCATCCGTTCACCTTTTCTGCGTCTCACAAAGACACGGCGGTTGGAACCAAAGATCTCAAATTTGGACTCATCAGACCAAAGCACAGATTTCCACTGGTCTAATGTCCATTCCTTGTGTTTCTTGGCCCAAACAAATCTCTTCTGCTTGTTGCCTCTCCTTAGCAGTGGTTTCCTAGCAGCTATTCGACCATGAAGGCCTGATTGGCGCAGTCTCCTCTTAACAGTTGTTCTAGAGATGGGTCTGCTGCTAGAACTCTGTGTGGCATTCATCTGGTCTCTGATCTGAGCTGCTGTTAACTTGCCATTTCTGAGGCTGGTGACTCGGATGAACTTATCCTCAGAAGCAGAGGTGACTCTTGGTCTTCCTTTCCTGGGTCGGTCCTCATGTGTGCCAGTTTCGTTGTAGCGCTTGATGGTTTTTGCGACTCCACTTGGGGACACATTTAAAGTTTTTGCAATTTTCCGGACTGACTGACCTTCATTTCTTAAAGTAATGATGGCCACTCATTTTTCTTTAGTTAGCTGATTGGTTCTTGCCATAATATGAATTTTAACAGTTGTCCAATAGGGCTGTCGGCTGTGTATTAACCTGACTTCTGCACAACACAACTGATGGTCCCAACCCCATTGATAAAGCAAGAAATTCCACTAATTAACCCTGATAAGGCACACCTGTGAAGTGGAAACCATTTCAGGTGACTACCTCTTGAAGCTCATGGAGAGAATGCCAAGAGTGTGCAAAGCAGTAATCAGAGCAAAGGGTTGCTATTTTGAAGAAACTAGAATATAAAACATGTTTTCAGTTTTTTCACCTTTTTTTGTTAAGTACATAACTCCACATGTGTTCATTCATAGTTTTGATGCCTTCAGTGAGAATCTACAATGTAAATAGTCATGAAAATAAAGAAAACGCATTGAATGAGAAGGTGTGTCCAAACTTTTGGCCTGTACTGTATATCTTCAAGATTGATATATAGTACAATTGAGATAAATAGAATTTTGTTAGTGGTACTCAGAGCTTTGAAAAAATAAAGACATTTGGAAAACTTGATGACTTACAATAAACTATTGCAAGTAACAGGACAGTGTGCGGGAATTTTCTTTCCTTGGTGTTCAGATTTTAAAACATATTGTCATTCTGAACACCATAAGTGGCATTCTATTCATCTTCATTTTATCAGGGCATGGGCATACATGTCAGACAGATACTGTATCTCAAAACCTGGACAAATAAAAACAAATCTAACTACTTGAAGTTGATTACTGTCTTTCTAAGCTTCCCAGTTCTCTACTGTTTTTACTGTAAAGACGACATGAATAAATCTCTCTCAAACAGCTGTAACCTTTGTTGGGGTTAAAGCAACTGGTCCAGTAGTTAAAAGTTTATAGATTTAAAAGCACATGGCACATGGTGTCTTGGTCTCTCACTCTGTCAGAACAGACTAATTCATGGACCATTGTAAAGACAATGAAGCCGTAAAAAAAAAAAAAAAGCAATATCCATGTATCTGTACGGTTACATCCATCAGTACTGGTGTAACACGTGTAGATAGTGTTTTATTATCTCTGTGAGTTCATCTTTAATGGCCATCTGTCAGTGAAAAAAAGTGTCATTAACTAAATACAGTTATTCACACTGTCATACACTTTATGCACGCTGGAGTAAAACTTTAACACTCGCAACATGTTTTTTTTGCCATGAACTTGATGACCCATAACCACAATGACGTTTTCTGCGGTATAATTCAAACTAAGGTGTCTATGTTTAATATTATTTCAACACAATCCACCCTCAGGTACGAGGCTCCCATCCCCCCCAATCTGCATATCTTCCAGGAGACAGCAGTGGAAGCATTTCCCATGGCCATAGTGGGTTTTGCTGTTGCCTTTTCTGTGGCAAAAGTCTATTCTGTAAAACATGATTACACCATCGATGGAAACCAGGTATGTAATAATGCGAAAATGGACCGCATGTAAAGTAAAAGCTGCATGTCTTATCAGGATTTTGATAACAAGACGTGTTTTCTGTAGGAGCTGATAGCTTTTGGAGTCAGCAACATCTTTGGAGCTTCCTTCAAGTCTTTTGCTGCGAGTACAGCTCTTTCCAGGAGTGCAGTGCAGGAGAGCACAGGTGGCAAGACTCAGGTAATATAATATCTCATGCTTTCTTATTCCTTAATTATAACCTTAATTCTAACCATTGAAATGCTGTATTCCAATCTGAGACAAAATCAGTTGAGTTACCGATGAGTTTAAGCTGCAGTGAACATAGACCCAATTGTAAACTTGAGACCAGATTACAGACATTCATGTCAAGTCACAGTGAGGGACCAATAAAAACTCTAACCAACACTGACCTCCAGTGATTGATCGTGAGAGAGTATGATATTCCTCTACTGATATTTATCAGATAAATGAAAAATAAAGCAGTGGCATTTCAGATTAACTAGAACACACTCATATTTCGAGACACAAATTCAGACCAACATGTCTTGGACTTTTTTCATTTTTCTGCTGTGGTTTACAGTTTTCAATCACCTAAACTTCACGTAAGCCCCTTTAAGATGTGGCACCAAGGGAGCATTCCTCATCTCTGTAGCTGAACATACCTGTTCTGTCCTTTTTAGGTTGCTGGATTACTGTCAGCTATCATAGTGATGATCGTCACATTAGCCATTGGATTTCTCCTGGAGCCGCTCCCGAAGGTAAACCTCAGATCTCCCTCAAACACTACCAACATACTAGTGAAGTCTTCAGAGAGTGGACTGGCTGAAATCTGACCTTTGATTAATTATTTTACCAGTCTGTGCTGGGTGCTGTGGTCATCGTCAACCTGAAGGGTATGCTGATGCAGTTTAGAGAAATCCCATACCTGTGGAGGAGGGACAAACCAGACTGTGTAAGTTCCTACACACAGAGTAATCACAAAAAAAGTTTTAAAACCAAACATCTCTGCATTTGAAGATTTATTAGGCTCATTTTGTGCTACCTAGCAATAAAAAAGGTACATATAATATGATATATACATACAAGAGACATATTGCCCCCTTTAAAAACTCCTCTGTTTCTTACCAATGTGTGTGTCCAGGTGGTATGGATAGGTACCTGTATTGCAGCCATCTTGCTGGGGCTGGATCTCGGATTGGCTGCAGGTCTCGGTGTGGAGCTAATCAGTGTTGTCCTCAGGACTCAGTTGTAAGTATCTGGCCACTAACTCTTTACTTTTTCCACAAACAAAACTTAATAGCTATCATATTTTTTTTGTTTTAGCTTGTAATTTTCTTTCAAGTCTTGGCAGCATGCAGTTTCCTGTTTGATAATGGAAAGTCTGAACTGTTTCCTAAACTACTTAAGTCTGTAGTGCTCTGGGGAGGGCAAATATGGCAAGCCGTTTTAACATTTAATCACTAAGTCTGACTATCCGGAATTACCATTATAGATATCTATAACGTCATTTTGACTAGTAGTAATGTCATTGTGACTAGTATGAATTTTAATTTAAGATATCTGTAACGTCATTCTGACTAGTCAAAACTGAATGACAGATATCTATAACGTCATTCTGACTAGTCAAAACTAAATGACAGATATCTATAACGTCATTCTGACTAGTCAAAACTGAAATACAGATATCTATAACGTCATTCTGACTAGTCAAAACTGAATGACAGATATCTATAACGTCATTCTGACTAGTCAAAACTAAATGACAGATATCTATAACGTAATTCTGACTAGTCAAAACTGAATTACAGATATCTGTAACGTCATTTTGACTAGTCAAAACTGAATGACAGATATCTATAACGTCATTCTGACTAGTCAAAACTGAATTACAGATATCTATAATGTCATTCTGACTAGTCAAAACTACAGTTACAGATATCTGTAATTCAGTTTTGACTAGTAAGATTCAAACTATTTTTGCCATTCATGTGTATGGGGTTTGTCATTATAGATATCTACAATTACATTATGACTATCTATAATTCCAGTTTGAGATATCTACAACGTCATTTTGACTAGTCATAATTCAGTTGCGGATATCTACAACGTCATTTTGACTAGTCATAATTCAGTTACAGATATCTACAACGTCATTTTGACTAGTCATAATTCGAATTCAAGATATCTACAACGTCATTCTGACTATCTGAAACTCAATTCAAGATATCTAGAAAGGACCATGTAGATATCTTCAATTGATGATAATTAAAGATATCTTGAACTTGAATTATGACTAGTCAAAATTAAATTGTAGATATCTCAAACTGGAATTACAGATATCCACAATTCAGTTGCAGATATCCGCAATAACAATTGCAGATATCCGCAACTACATTGGAGATATCTATAATGACAAACCCCATACACATGAATGGCAAAAATAGTTTGAATCTTACTAGTCAAAACTGAATTACAGATATCTGTAATTAGAGTTTTGACTAGGCAAAATCTAATTACAGATATCTTGAATAAGAGTTTTGACTAGGCAAAATTATGTTGCAGATATCAGTAATGAATATCCAGTCTAGCGATTAAATGTTAAAACGGCTTGCCATAGGGCAACGTTGGTCAGCCCACCACTTGGGTTCAGATTGAAAAATCTTATCAACTGTTAGTAGATTGCAATCACATTCACAGATGCTATATGCCAAAGATTTCTTCTAGCACCCCCATGAGGTTCACATTTGGCACTTGGAGTGAAACATCTTCAACAACAATTGGATGGATTGTAATGAAATTTCTTATACACATTCATGTCCCTCTTAGGATGAACTGTAATCACTTTGTTGAATGCTTAACTTTTCATTTCATGCCATCGTCAAGTGAATTGATCTATCTAGTACTTTGGTTTTCGACCCATTACCTGCAGAACTAATGACATTCCCATCAAGATGGTGAATGTAGTCAATATTAGGCCATTTGCAAAGCATTCGCCTGTTAGCACTGTCATTGTAAGTGTGTTAGCATTTGGCTCAAAGTTCTGCTGTGCCCAAGTGAAGTCTCACATACCTGCTAGCATGGCTGTAGAATCCCTGTCTTGTTATTGCTCAATACCAAATTGAGTTTTTATATCTTTTTATTTTTCTTCAGTCCTCGCTGCAGTGTGCTGGCCAACATCAAAGGAACTGATATCTACAAAGACAGAAAGGACTACATTGATGTAAGTTGTTTTCTGTTACTAAGGTTAAAGTAATAGTTTGACATTTTAAAGGGGACCTACTATGCTTTTCCTTATTATATATAATGTTACAATGTTGGATGCTGATATTAAACATGGTCAGGGTTTCAAATAATGAGGTAAATGTATGTAGAAGTAATCCCTGTGAGCAAAAACCTCAGGCTTTAGACCGTTGTGAACACTGTTTCCAACTTTTTTTTTCTACTTTGACTACAAGCTGACATCAGCTCATGACAGATTTCTGCTCCAGGAGTGCTACTGCCAAGTGTTAACATTACATACTGTGCTACAAGTAGCTACATGCTGATGTCATGCCATGACATACATGCCAAATGCAGCACACTGAGGCAGGCAGACAGTAGGTAATTAGCTTTAATGCACACACCAATATACAACAGTTCTGGGGTCTTTGGGTTTAGCTTGCTTGTAGTCTCTGTGGTGAGTGAGTGGATGAGAGTGGGAAGCCAATACTTGAGGGCAGATTGAGAGCTGGGGATTATACTGTGAGTGCAGGTGGGTTTCTCGTGAGGCTGGTAGTGGAGTAAAGACTAAAGTAGCGGGCTGAACCAGGAGATCTGAGGGAAGCAGGACTGGTGTAGCACCATGCAGCCACTGAGGCAAGCAGACAAGAACCAGGAAGGGAGCAGGCAGGACAGGCAGGACAGAGGGCTGAGGTGATTAGCAGGGCAGAAGCAACAGAGGCAGGTCAGGAACAAGCAGGGTCATTACAGGGAATCAAGCCAAGATTGAATGCTGGAAAGTCTTGCATGAAGTCAAAGAACAGTCTGGCACTAAGGGGAAGGCAGCAGCTGCTTATATGTAGGGAGTGCTGATGAGAAGCAGCTGTGTGCACAGGTGAGTGGAGTTGACTTGATTGGGGGGTGTGGCTGGCTGGCAGGGTGCAGGTGAATGGAAATTTACCAGGAGCAGGTGAGGGAAAGAATCAGATTGTGACACTACCTGATTTTAGATCATATTCCTGCTGGAAAATGTCCTGTTATGAAGATTTTGGTTTTGAAGCTTTTATTGGTGATTTCTCGACAGAAAAAAACCCACCGGTCTCTTATACAGTAATTTCCTGCTGCTACATGTAGCTACATGCTAACATCATGGAAACATTGTTTGCCAATTTTGCTAATTTTTTTCTATTTTTTTTTTTATTTTCCTGATGGAACAGCAGCTAGTTTGGAAGCTTTTATTGATGGCAGAAAGTGCCGCTACACTTCTTAACAGTCATTCCTCAACTGCAGTGATGGCGCAGAAACGCCGACATACCAAAGACCAGGAAATGATGACAAATTGGAGCAAACTGGGCTTTTGCAGGAGAGGGTCATAAACAGACAGGCGCTAAAACGGAGTGTCTCAGACAAAGGGTGAATACAGATGTTCCAGCACAGACAATATGAGAAAAATAAAGTGTTATTTTTAACATTAAAGCATGTAAACATATTTGAATAAAAACCCCATATACACATATGAACCTGAAAAGGAGCATAATAAGTCCTCTTTAACACACTTATTTGCTTACAGAGACTTAGATATTCTTATATCTTATTATTTGATTTATTTAAAATTAATAAAATAAGCAGGAGGAGGGATGTTATAAAAATGTCTTTGCTGACAGTTTCATTCATAGAATCATTCCTGTTTCCTCCTCCTTCTCTGCTTTATGTTCATCTTACTTTTGAAAGAGAATACTTTGCTGGAATTTTGGTAATTTGAGTTTAAAGATAATGACTCTCTTCAGATATATGAGCCAGATGGAGTGAAGATCTTCAGGATACCATCACCCATTTTCTTTGCCAACATTGAGTTCTTCAGGGGCAAGCTGGTGGAAGCTGTAAGTACAACACTGACATCAGATTGTTTTTTGTTTTGTTTTTTTTTTCAATTCAAAAATAATAAATCATATCTAAACACCGAAATTTAGCTAATTTAGTTTGTAACATCTAATTTGGTGGAAAATGCTGTAAAAAAAACAAACAACCAAACCATGTTGTAAACAGACGGATTGAAAAATTTAGCAGATCTTATCTTTGACCTGATTGTCTAAAACTTGTGACACACTTCACATCAATGTCTTATCAGATTGGATTTAACCCCTTGAGAGTATTGAGAAAGAGAAATAAAGCCCTGAGGATGATCCGTAAGCTTCTAAAGAAGGGAGACCTTCAGTGGACATCAGTAAGTAATGCCTTTGACCTGAAAACAGCTCACTCCTGTTCTGGCAACACTTTCACTATGCCATTAAAGTCTTGGTTCTCTGATTTTTATGCTGTCACTGTTGTCTTTTTCTGTTTTGATTTAAAATCTGTTCATGTCAACAGTGTAGAAATACATTTCCACACATTAAGCAATACAAAAAGTAAATATTACCATCACTTAAATACAATTATCAAAAATAAATCGGTTCTGTAAATGAATATAATGAAACTGAATCTTTAGTTTAAAAAAATTGGAGTGTGATGGTGTGATTTGCTCAGCAGATGGGACAAGGGTCACCTCCACTTATCTCAGATGCAAGTAAATGTGTGATCATGATAAGACCAGCTCTGTAATGTGTTGAGCAGATGAGGGTTTGTTGTGTTTGGTTTACAGCATGTCTACAACTTGTCTTACAACCTTTATAACGGGCAGGCTATAATTGTATTTTCTTGAGTATAAAAGCTGAGGCCCTGCCCTATAAAAATCAATGACTATGTCAGTGGTTGTATTCTTGCCAATTTTTACTTTCAAAATACAGTTATGTGTCCAAGATGACCAATAAGAACCTACAAACAATTACTTCTAGAAAATGGAGTGCCATGATTCCCCTGTGCTGCAAACCTTGTTGTTTCCACACTTTACCTGGGGAGGTTGTAGTGTAGACACACCCACCAGTATACCTTTGACCCTACAGGGACATTATCCCTCACCAGCTTCTCATCACTCTTGAGCCAAGTTTCCATTCAAATGTTGTACAAAAAACTTACAGAAAATCAGCAAAAAAAGCACATTAAAGCTGGGGTAGGCAGGAATCTAGAACAAACAAAGAGAAAAACAATGGTAGAATTTAAAAATATGCCCTTCTCCTGCAGCTCCCCCTCCTCTGTCCTAAGCTCTTCCCACCAGACAATCATGGGCTTATGCACACATTTCATACAGTAACCCAGTGTTTCCCATACACTGATTGATAAATCTTATTTCATCACAGAGTTAGACACATTCGCTCAGACCCTGATTGACCCATTCTTGCTCTCTCTGTTCATCAGATCACAAATGAGACGGGAATTAGCTAGCTAACATTAGCCACCCCACCGTCCTGTTGCCACATTGTGATTCAAGACTCTAGCTAACGTTAGCTAATGTGAACTTGAAGCAGCAGATATGAGCCTTTAGCTCTGGTTTGCAGCTCCAGCTCTGAAAAATACTTCTTCTTTGGGTGGCTTTGCAGCAACCCTTACCCATGTTTTGCCTGCAGTACCTTTGTCACATATAACCCTGTGATGGACTGGGAATTTATATAGAATGTGCCACAGCTCCGTGTGAACAAGATGTATAAACAGTATTTTACTATCACAGAAAGGCTTCCTGAATACCTCGTGCGGACCCATCAGTGAGTCAGAAGATGAGTACAACAAAGAGGAGCTGGACCTGCCGACTGACTTCAAGGACCTTCCCACCCGCATTGACTGGAACACCGAGCTTCCCGCCAACATCGTTGTTCCCAGAGTAGACCTCCACAGCCTGATCTTGGACTTTGCTGCTGTCTCCTTCCTGGACATCTCTGCTCTGAAGGGTCTCAAAACGGTGAGCTGTTCATTCACAGCAACAACAGAAGTAGTTCTTTCACCAAGGCTTGTCAGTCTTTAATTATCTGTACCTTCTCTACAGATGCTGAAAGAACTGATCCGGGTTGAAGTTGAGGTCTACATTGTGGCTTGTGATCGTAAGTATAAAACTACAGTATTTAAAGTCATTGCTTTTCTTCATGTCACTTCCAACAGACACAAAAAAATACTTGTGTGTTCAGAGATGTGTGAAGTGTGTCCATGTATTGTAGAGCACTAGGTCTTCAGAGGGGGCAGTATATTCCCTAAAATGGATATAGGAATATGGGTTGACAGTGATTTCTTTTTACTTTGCCCTCAGTTGAGCAACTTTTGCATAGACTTTACTAAATTATTGCCACTTACGGCAAGTCAGGTTGTCAGCTGTCACTTCTTGGGCTCCGTACAACACAAATGTGCAGCTTCAAATCCTTTCTGCCCCGTTGTTACACATCCCAGCTGGCACACGCCCAACCTTCAATTCTGAAATGTGATTGAAATTATGTCAGTTGTTGTTTCATCATCAAAACAACGTTGAAACAAAGTTTAATTCTGATGGTAGTGAAAAGGTTAACAAAGTTCTCATTAATCAGCATTGAAATTTCAGAAAGATCTGTTTCAATGTTGAAACAATTTTAAATCAGTTTTTAAAGTTTATCAAATAACATTGAAAGATAATTGCAAAATCAATGTTGATCATCGTTCATAATAAACACATGATTCAACAGTGATTCAATCATGGTGTATGACATTGATTCAATAAACATTAGAATGCCAGCTGGAATATTTTTTTGTGCAATTAAATATTCGGTGTGGGCATTTGCCAGAGGTGGGACCAATTCATTGCTTTGCAAGTCAAAATAAGTCTTAAGTATCTGAACTCAAGTCCAGGTCAAGTCCCAAGTCAAGACTGAAAACTCTCAAGTCAATTTGTAAGTTTTAAACTTTGAGTTCCAAGTCCGAAACAAGTCTTATTACACTCTTCACCAAATGTAATGTGATTTTAAAAACAGAGCAGTAATATATTAAATTTACAAAAATTCCTGATTTTTAAAATTGTGTTTACTTGTTCAAACAAGTTTGTAAATACAACTGTGACTGAACCTAATAAGAAAAAAGCAATGCTGACATTGCACTCTCATAGCATATAGCACCATGAATCCATACCAGAGTTACCTCATAACTTCCGTAAAACTTCATATAATAGCTCGGGCTACTATTTGCTTAAATCACTAAAATCAATGGGCCTATATTTGGGACAGGCAACTGTAATGGGACAGGTCTTTAATTCCTTCCACACAAAACTGTTGCTCTGCAAAGATGGGAAATATAATCAAATAGTTTATTTGAACCAGTATGAATGTGACTTGTATAAAAATTTGTCTTTAGATAATATTTCAATTATGAATCATTCATTTGATTTAGCTCCAACAGACAGTACATAAGAAAGAGAGAGAGTTTTAGCACTTAGGATTACAGCACGCAGCATACCAACACAAAACTACTTTATCCTGTTAAAACAACATTCATAACTTGGATTAATTTTCATGAAAAAAACGTTTGATTCTTTTGATCTGAGGACTCTTACAGACTAAAGGAATATGAATAACTTAAAGAGTAATCAAGGAATGGACACATAATTTGAGGTAGCCAACAGGCTGGTTTTATACATCCAAAGAACTTCTATAAAAAAATGAACTGCTTGGCAACCAGACCAGACGTCTAATTGAGACAGATGTTTATTTGTGAAAATGTGTAGCCAGGCCAGGCTAGTAAAAGGGACTAGGGGTTTAACTGAAGTTTTATGGTATGTTAATATTAGCCTCAACTTATACTCATACACGTTGTCCTCCGCTTATACTATTATTAGACAGTCCTCTCCCCAACCACTTTCGTCAGCTCTTCCGAGGAAACCCCAAGGCGTTCCCAGGCCAGCCGGGCAATGTAATCCCTCCAGCGTGTCCTGGGGCGGCCCCGAGGTCTCCTCCCGGTTGGACACGCCCGAAACACCTCCCAAGGGAGGCGTCCAGAAGGCATCCTTACCAGATGCCCGAACCACCTCAACTGGCTCCTCTTGATGTGGAGGAGCAGTGGCTCTACTCCGAGTCCCTCCCGGATGTCCGAGCTCCTCACCCTATCTCGAGGGCTTAGCCCAGCCACCCTGCGGAGGAAACTCATTTCGGCCGCTTGTACTCGTGATCTCGTTCTTTCGGTTACTACCCAGAGCTCGTGACCATAGGTGAGGGTTGGAACGTAGATTGACCGGTAAATCAAGAGCTTCACTTTCTGGCTAACCACAACGGACCAGTTAAGCGCCTGCATCACTGCTGACGCCGCCCCAATCTGCCTGCCAATCTCCTGCTCCATCCTACCCTCACTCGTGAACAAGATCCCGAGATACTTAAACTCCTCCACCTGAGGCAGGACCTACCCCCCCGACCTGGAGTGGGCAATCCACCCTTTTCTGGCTGAGGACCATGGCCTCAGACTTGGAGGTGCTGATTCTCATCCCAGCTGCTTCACACTCGGCTGCAAACCGTCCCAGCAAGAGCTGGAGGTCAATGTTCGATGGAGCTAGGAGGACCACGTCATCCGCAAAAAGCAGGGACGAGATCCTCCCATCACAGAACCTGACACCCTCCACCACTCGACTGCACCTAGAAATTCTGTCCATGAAAGTTATGAACAGAACCGCTGACAAAGGGCAGCCCTGGCGGAGTCCAGCCCTCACTGGGAACAGGTCCGACTTACTGCCGGCCACACAAACCAGACTTGCGCTTCTACGGTACAGGGACTGGATGGCCCTTAGCAAGGGGCCACCAACCCCATTCTCCCGGAGCACCCCCCACAGGATGCCCCTGGGGACACGGTCGTAAGCCTTCTCCAAATCCACAAAACACATGTGGACTGGTTGGGCTAACTCCCATGCCCCCTCCAGCACCCTGTCGAGGGTAAAGAGCTGGTCCACTGTTCCGCTTCCTGGACGAAAACCACATTGCTTCTCCTCAATCTGAGGTTCAACTATCGACTGGACCCTCTTCTTCAGCACCCTGGAGTAGACCTTACCGGGTAGGCTGAGGAGTGTGATCCCCCTGTAGTTGGAACACACCCTCTGGTCAGTAGCCTCAAGTTACTGTTATTTGTGCAGCTTCACATGTCGAACATAAATGGAAGTTGTTGCGTCTCCATCTGTAATTTTCAACTTTTAACGTTTTGCATACTGCAACTTCTTTTTAATGAACATCGCATAGTTTTGTATGGAAACAAAATTATGTTTCATTTTTTTCCAACTGGAGCTCAATAGCATAACACAAGTTCATCATGGTTCCCTTCTGCAACTTGATTGGATGCTGTTGGATTGGTTCAAACAAAGTGGATCATCTGGGGAATTAAGTGTTGACTTGCTGGGAATGAATAGCATTAACATTGGTTGTTTCAGGAAATGAAAGAAAATTACTTGGTTTCTTGCACACTTTTTAAATAACATACTTTAAAATCTTTGGGCTTGGGGGGGATTTTGTCAGGTTTTGTCAAGTCGAGTCTAAAGTCATCAAATTTGTGACTGATTTGTGACACACCTCTGGTATCTGCTTATTTATCATTTATACTGCCCACAAGTATGTCTTTTATATACCCACCCATTGCATCAGTTATTTATTTTGTGTTTATTAGTGCTGTTAAAATGCTGTTTTACCAAAAGTTTTAACTGGTCAAGACTTATTTATGGTAGATTCTTGTTTAACTGAAATGGTAAGCATTGACTGGTTCTGGAACAGATAATAACCCATTCTTCTTACCTGCAGCTTACATCCAGATGAAACTGCATGACTGTTGCTTCTTTGATGATGAAGTTCAGCCATCAGTGTTCTTCCTGACACTGCATGACGCCATGCTGCACATCCTCGAGAAACACCCAGACCGCACAGAAAAGAAATCTGACAATGAAAGAGTAAATATGACACATTTTTATTTGGTGAAACATGGCGTATACAATATTTGGAGGAGGCTTTAGTGCTGTGTACATGTAAACAATACTTAACTCTTCATGTTGTCCTGCAGATTATAACAACAGTCACAATTCACCACCCTGGAGGCAATGTGAGGAGCAGAGATAGACATGTACGTATGCATTTTGTGTTTATTTTTACACTTTGATCAACAGAAAAACTACAAATGCACCAGAGTTTTAACCATCTTTATTACCTGAAAGGCTCATTCTTTAAATGTGATGCTTAAAAGTTCATTTTTATCAGCTCCATTAATTTCTAAAATGAAACAGACTGAACACATCTCCTTCTTGATCCACAGGTTCCAGATCGAGAAACCAGATTTTAACTTCTGAATGAGAAGACGTTTATTTTGGGGGAAAAAATACCTAAAAGACCAAAGACAAAAAGAGTAAATGTTGAAAGATGATGCTGTATAAAACACTGATGTAGTGAATGACGAAATACTGTTTTTGACTTTGTACATCTGACAATCTAAGTTTACATATGCAATATTTACGGTAATGTAAAAAAAAATAATTTCATGGTATTGATGTTTTTTATACTGTATATACTGAATTTGTAGAAATTTTAGATGCAATATATTTTACATGTTGTAGATTTATATATTTCCATGATGATGAGAATAAATGAACTTCAAAATAATATTCTCTGTTTGGGACCAAAGCAATGTGAAAGAGTCTGAATGTTCAGTGGCTGAAATATTGAAATAAATATTTCATCATTCTAAATAATGTCATTCAATGTTTCTGTGTATGTTTTTTTTAATTTCCTTAAACTTTACATTCTTCCTTCCCCACACTGTTAAAAACTGTCATTCTCATCCCAGCTGGCACTGGCCATCAAATAGTTGTGAGAAAGACAATGGACTCTTCAGTATGACAGACATTAAATTCTAGTTGGAATCAAAGTCAGGTTGACGATATTCTAAATTTTAAAAGATGTTAGAATTTCATATTGTTTGGACAATAACATTATGACATTTTGCAGACATTAAGTTTTTGCTTAACTTAAGACTACATGTAGTTACCCCATGTCAAGCTGATGTTGGCATGAGACTTTTGGAAGATGTTGGATTTTTGTTACTTAACACAACTTAAAACCAATAAAACATCAGCGTCATCTGTCATCAGTACATCAAAATGGTGTTGGCATTCAATGCCCTGACATTGAATTATGTTCATCTGACATCACAAACTAAATTCAGCTAAATATTAATGTCTATGTCTATATCAATGTTGGTGGCCAGCTGGGATTGGACATAAAGGCTGGATTACCAACAGGCACTGAAAGCACCAGGTTTATTGGGTGGCATTTGGTTTGTTGATTATTTTTAACCTTGTTTGTGAATATGGTGGTCACAAACAACAACCCCCCCGATTAACCTTTTCTTTAATAAGACAAATATACAGCTTTATTTTAAAGGAGTATAGTGATTGTAAGTAGTAAAACATTTACTTGAACCAAGCCTTACAAGTTTAGGGGAGACTCGTGGGTACCCATAGAACTCATTTTCATTCAGATACCTTGACACGAGGGCTCAGCTCATATGTAATATTCATTGCTAACATTGCTTCTGTTGTCTACTTGTTCCTGTCGATCTAAGGTAAAGGTTGATGTATCTCATTTTGAAGAAAGTTTTGTTTGGATTTATTTTAGTCATTTCATCAGAGTAGTATTAGCAGCAGTGATAGTAGCAACAACAGATGTGTTTTAAGTTGTAGTTGTAGAAATGGTAGTACTACTTTGTTTTGATGCATTTTAAGAAACCACAAGCCCAGATTTGAGAACAGGTGACAAAAACACCAAAAAAGAAAGAAAAAGGTAAAAAAAGAAACACAAGTTCAATACAATCAACCTATTGCATACTGGTGTCTAAAAAGAAAATGCTGTGTTAAAGGACTCCTCAGACATGACAACACACGATACATCAGTCAGGGCATAGATTTCCATCTTTATAAGCCTCAAGTAATTTACACCGATCAGCCACAACATTTAAACCACTGACAAGTGAAGTGAAGTCATCTTGTTACAATGCAATGTTCTTCTGGGAGACCTTGGGTCTGGCATTCATGGCAATGGCACTATACACACACCAACAACCCAAACACCATTACAGACCAAGTACACCACCTCATGGCAATGGCACCCTGCCATACCACAAAAACTGCTCAGAAATGGCCCAAGGAACATGACAGAGAGCTCAAAGTGTCAACCTGGCCTTTAAATTCCACAGATCTATACGACTGACCATTTGATGCGCTGGTGCCCCTCCTCGCAACCCACAGGACTCAAAGGATCTGTCACCAATGCCCTGGTGCCAGACACTGCAGCGTTCCTCCAGTGGTTCTGTGTCCACATCTCAACCGGGCAAAGGCCCCACCATGGATCAGACGTTGACCTGTCGAGGCATGGACAAGGGCCTCTGGGGTACCAGAACGTCTCATAAAATGCTTGATCAGATTGGAGTCTGGAGAAATTGAAGGCTAGGTAGACATCTTGAGCTCTTTGTCACAGTCCGCGGGCCATTCCTAAACAGTTGAATGTGAATGTTAAGAATGTTATTGACTTCACCTGTCAGTGGTTTTAATATTGTGGCTGATAGGTGAAAACTTTAGCCAGACACCTAAAAATACAATAATAAAATGCTGTGTGACAAAGTTGACTTTGATATGCCTCTGCAGTGATGTCACCACAGGCCAAGTCCATGTAATCTTTGTGCTTGAAAAATATCCCAATGCTTAAGAAATGGTGGTGTGTAATACTTCATTGATCTTCTTAGATGGACTGCTGCACCACGGAACTTCATAATTTCCAATATGACACTATAATAAAGTTTTGCAACTGTTGCACCATCATTGATTTTCCCTCACTGCATCTGCACAAGGACCTCTAAGCATTTCTTACTCTAACTGCTTCCATTTTTTTGGGACAATTTTAGGTACTCAAACTGCTATATCCCTTTCAATTTGACTTTTCTCTGATTGAACCTTTCTATGTGATCATCATGTGAGAGGTAAAGCTCAGAAAACACGTTTGCAGTTGTGATTATTGCATTGAATTTGCAGTCTTAGATCATTTTTAAGGCAAACTTCTAGTATGAAGAAAGTGAGTATTTTGATTTAAAACTACTTACAGAAACTAAACGAAACCAAAATATTCCCAGCTTGTGGGGACACCTCTCATCTAATCTCAGCTTGAAGGTAACTGAAGCAAAGAAATGAATGACACAATAAATCATAAATCTTCGTTAATGATTGGACAGAGTTGAGACAAAACTGACATAGTGATAGAACTGATCTCAGATCACAGATTAGATAAACACAGACTCTCAACACTGTACAAGAAACCAACGGGCAAAGGTTCTTTAAAGAAGCTTTCTCCAGAACTTTTCACATTATACTTGGGATGCTTAAGACACCTGTGGTGTGAGGATGGCAACTTTAAGGAAACAATACGCAGTGGCCAGACCTGTGTACTCCGAGGACAGCTTTGCTGATGATCATGAGAAAATCTACAGGGTGCGTAAAACCACCTGGGACCATGTGAAACAGTATCTGATGTAAGTGAACCCCAGTTCTTTAGATATCATAGGATCATAGTCTTTGATTTGAGTCAATAACTTGTGCTCTTGATTTGAAATCTTTTGCAAAATAAGTGTATATGATAGACGATTTGATGACATTGTGTCAAAGGAAAATCCAAAATTCAGTCTAGGAGCTTTTTATTTCTGTTAAATCCAGCTGTGATTCAAAACGCGCCAAGAATGCAGTGCTCTCTCTTCTGCCCATCATTGGCTGGATGAGGATCTACAGAGTTAAAGAGTGGCTGCCAGGTGATGTGGTATCTGGGATCAGCACTGGACTGGTGGCCATTATGCAGGGTAAGGAGCAGGATGAAGAGAACTTGAGTCTGTGACTGCAGGGTCCTATCATTGTTTGTGCATTCAGAGACACCGTCTAGACCTCCATACTTACTTTTGCTGAACTGTATGAATATCATTTGCTTTGTTACAGAATATTGCCTTAGAATGTAGATTGTAGACACTGCATAATGAATGTACCACCCAGTCCACTAAATTTTTTTTTCAAATTGAACGTTATTGCAAACCACAGACTTGTCACTTTTTGATATTACTGTGTGGTACATTGAAACCTTAACATTTCTCGACAATGCTGTGATGAAAGTGTGGTTGGGTTTAGGCGCAAAAATCATTTGGTTAAGGTTGGGAAAAGATCTAATTTTGGCTTAAAATATGCAAATATGCAAAATACCCGGGTTTGGTGGCACAAAACCTGCTGGAAATGCAGGGACAGGTCCATGAAAAACATCAGGGTTCTGAGACTTGAACGCTGCTGGGAAACGCAGTGATGTGTCAGTGACAAACACCCAGGTTCGATGTCACACATGCCACCAGGAAACACCACAATGTGTCAGTAAAAAACACACAGGTTAAGTGAATCAAGCACAGTTGTGAAATACCACAGTGGGTTGGTGAAAAACACCCAGGCTCAGTTAAAAATCACCCAGGTTCAGTGCCACAATGCTGCTGGGAAACACCATGGTGTGCCACTAAAAACACCCAAGTTTGGTGCCACAAACACATGGAAACACCACAAAGGGTCACCAAAAAACAACCAGCGTTGGTGTTCTCGAACAGTGTTCTGCAGCTTGGCATATATTACATGACTTTAAAAATGTTGATATAAAGTAGCTATGTATGAAATGTGCAAATGTAACATATTCATGGTACGCAGAAACGTATAATGCCAAAATTTTCTTCTGGCGACCGGGCTGGAATGTAACTTTCAATTATGAATTTGGCACTGAATGTGTGGTCCAATTTTTACACTTGTTTACGTAGCTAATATTTGATCAGATTTTTTGTTTGCTTGAATTTTGCTCATTACAGGCAGTGTTCTATGTAAGTGTACTTCTCGTATGGCTGCTTGTCACAATCACCAAGATCAGTGATGCATTTGAGAAATGTGGCGTTACTGATCCCCACACAGTCAAATGAAAGATTCCCAGCAGTGAAAGTACAAGAATAGATGCATAGAATTGATAAATATGCTAAAGACAATATATAGTATCCATAAGTATTAAAAACTATATTGAGACACAGATTAGTAAGTAATAAAGGGTTAAATAGAAAATCATGGTTATATTCCTTAAAGTAAAACAGTATTGTTTGTTTTTATGTTGTTTTCTATTGGAATCCAAACTCAGTTGTCATTGGGCATCGTTCAAAGGATTTATGTTGTGTTCACATTGGGCGCGAATAAAACAATTTGTCCAAGTGAATTACAAGTAAAGTCCCTGTAAAGATGTGATAAGACGCAAATTCCGCTAGGCGGCTCAATGGATGCCAGGGACACGACACGAATGATGCGAAATACGCAAATTTAGCAGCGCAAATGAAGCGAGTTGCTTTTTCGAGTTGAAAAATGTGAACTTCAGGGAATAATTCACCCAATGACAGCCAGTCAGCATTGAGATCCTCCAGATATATAAGATGCTGAGAACATAGCGGTGGAAGTTTATTCATCGATTCAGTGATTTCACATGCATATGACGCGAGTTCTTTGCACATATGAAGCAAGTCGACACAAACTATTCTAGCATTCAAACGAGCCATAATGTATTTTTGAGCAGCAGAGTACATCCAGTACACTAATGTCTCACACTCATTCAGTAGCTTTACCTATGGGCATTTCTCACTTAAAATCCATTATGCAGTTGGAATGCACTTCCTACTCAATTTCATGTCATATTTAGTTTCCTATAAATAATATGTTAATATGCAATTTCCAAAACAGCCATTTCACAGGACCTTGTTATGATGCTGGTGTAGCATTTAGCTAAGTACAGCCTCACAGAGCTGCTAGCATAGCCGTGGACTCTTACTGCCCTTTCAGACCCAACACAGTTTGAGCTGCATTTACCATTGGGTTGGGCACACACAGCAGCAACCTGTTTGAACTTTGGGTGCAGCAGCAGCTCGACAGGTCAAAAAGCCATCCTGGAGCAGCGCAAGCCACTGATAATGGGTTTCATAGAGCAGTGGTGCCATTATTGTGTTTGGTTTGACAGGCCCATGTTTTCACAGTTTGGATTCTGTTAATACACTTCCATGTAGTACACCATGTACACGAGGTATGTGCGTCTTGCATGAATTTTAACAGGGTAGTTTTTGACACTGAGAAGTGTCCAGCATTCCACACTTAAGTTTTGACTGTTATTAGTACATCATCCTCTTAATGCACTGCATTTTGCTGTACTTGTCAGTGTGAATGCACCAATAAATCTGGTAATGGTAAATATCTTTACCTACCAGAGCTTTCAACCTCATTTTAATGCTGACCAGCAAGTATTGGCAAACATACCCAGAGATATTACTTCTTTCTCTTAAATAGCATCCATTTTCTAAAACTTCTTTCCCTTCTATTTACTAATTTATGTGGCAGAAAAAATAAGTGGTAATTTTTTGTTTATTTCATTTGGTTTTTTTGTTTGTGTGTTTTTTTTCCAGAGATATTTGACAAAAATATCCATTATTATTGAAGTCTTCATTTTGTGTTTTTGCTGTGATCTCACTCAGGTCTGGCCTTCTCCCTGCTGGCTGAGCTGCCTCCAAGCTATGGCCTCTACACAGCTTTCTTCCCCATGCTTATATATTTCTTCCTCGGTACTTCAAGACATATATCTATCGGTATGTCAGTCACTATACATTATTTTCACGTTAAAGGTCTAGTGTGTAGGCTTTAGTGGCATCTAGTGGTGAGGATGCAGATTGTAACCAGCTGAAACTATTCTCATGTGCCAAGCATGTGGGAGAACTACAGTAACTGATTAGAAAATGCAAAGGGCCCAGTTTAGAGCCAGTATTTGTCTATTCTGGGCTACTGTAGAAACATGGCAGTGCAACATGGCAGACTCTGTGAACAAGGAACGTGGATTACTGGATACAGCACTGAAGGTAGAGTCCAGTTCTTTCTAATGAAGGTTGTTCAGTGGCATCTAAAGCAAAAAAGGCTTTATTTCCACAGCATGAAATTACCCCAATCTCCACATCACAGGGACCATAGAACAAGCACACTAGAAACCTATGGCGGCAGAGCAGCTAACTTCTGCTAGCCGAGTTGCTAACTTCCAGTTTAGCCCTTAAATTACATTCACAATGTAAGTCTATGGGATAAAGTCTTTTTGTGCCCAATATAGAGCTCCAGGAATGAGTCATAAAACCCGGAGATGAGTTAGCATTTTAGTACTCCCAGCTTTTTGAATGGGTTTTCGGTTAGATGCCTGAAATAAGGTCTGTGGTCAACACAATCATAAGAGATTTTTTGACAGTAAATACCCCACTTGTGAATTTTGAAGCTTTTGTGTGTCTTAAAAAGGTGGTTGCTAACAAGTGGCTAAATGAGACTACAGACCATCATCAAGCTATGTGGCTTTACAGCCATGTTGCATATGTGACACTGAAGTCATGCGAATGTAGTGTAGTTAATTTATAGCCTAACATTAGCTTTTTACTTCTGGTGATTTCATTTAGGCTTCAAAAATCATAAGAGTGGTGTTAACAAAATGTGTAAGTACCATAATCATCTGCTTGCCATAGAGCTTATTAAATTGAGTGGGAAAATCCCATTGTTTTTTTTGGTGAGGGAACTCGTGTGATGCTAACTTCCTTGTTTGCCTACATAAAAACGTCATCCCTGGAGCACTCTATGGCATCATGTAATGATCCTGTAAACTGTAATTTTTGACCACTATGTAAAATTAGCTTAAAAACCTGGCATTGTTCTTGTAGACTTGAAAAGGACAAAATGAAAACACAACGTTTCTTAGTTTCAGGTGATTATAACCTAATGTAAAACATACTTATTCATATTATATTCCATTTCTGCCACTAGATCCCCTATATCCTACACACTGGACCTTAATTTTCTCTACAGCAAGTGAAACAACATAATAACTTGATTTACCAAGACCAAAATCATAGAAAAAAAAATTATTATTTTGTTTTATGGTAGATCTGCCAAAGGGGTTTGATATAAATTGATATGAATTCAACTTTAAATACCATCTGATGATTTTTCTTTTAATTGATAGCTCTTTGGGACACACCACTTATTATCACAGTTATTATAATGTATTACTTATCAACATTTCTCTTGTTTTTCCTATATAATAGACTTTCTGTCATCAGTCATAAATATATTACTTAAAAGCCTGTATGGAAAAGGTATCATTTTAACAAAAGGGGGGGGAAAGATTGTGTGTTCTATGGGTTAACAGTGTCTTCCACCTCTCCACACCCACCTTCACGCAGGTGCCTTCCCAGTCCTGAGCCTGATGCTAGGAGCTGTGGTGCTCCGCCTGGTGCCAGATGAAGGATCACCAGCCAACATCACCGCCTTTGAGGGCCTGAACAAGACTGAACAGAGGGTCCTGGTGGCCTACTCTGTGACCTTTCTCGTGGGGATTTTTCAAGTAGATTTGACTTACCATACCATACCATACCATACCATGTTGGCATGTTGGCATGTTCTAGAAAGAATCTTCTTTTCCCTTATTTGTTCTGTCCCACGCAGCTTGCCATGGGTGTTCTGCAGGTGGGCTTTATTGTTGTGTACCTGTCTGACACTCTGGTGTCTGGCTTCACCACAGCAGCTGCTATCCATATCGTGGTGTCACAGCTCAAGTTTGTGTTAGGGCTGACCGTTCCAGGCATCAATGGTCCACTCGCTATCATATATGTAAGTATCTGACAGTTATGTTATTATTGTCTATGTCATTTTGTACTGGGAATTAGCAGAGATTGACCACTTCAAATGTTTTTATCATTCAGGCAGTAGGGAAAACGAGGTAGACCTAGGAAAGAGAACATATAGCTTTAGTCCCACAGACAGTTCTGAGAGGCAAAGGTGTGTCTGAATCAAGAGAGAAATCTTCAGTGGTTGTAGCTAGGCCTGGTTTGTGGATGGCTGTTTGGAAGTCGCAAGTTCTGGGTAAATGAAAATTTACCCCCATTACAGTTGTCATGAAGGTTGAAATTAGCTTTAGAGACAAAAACTGTTTTTGCACCAGGGTGTAAACATGTTTTTTTCTGCTGAAAAGCTGGGCATGGGGGTCTTTAAGGATTTACTCACTTTTGGAACCAGCCCCAAGCGGCCATTAGAGGCACTGCAGTTTTTGGCATTTGGCATTGGCTTCATTTTTCTGCCCTGGAGTCTGCCTCTTGGACAGAGCTCCAGTAACATGCAGAGGAACTCAATACAATATGATTTTATAGTGAAGCAGTACTGGATATGCATATGTTTAATCTTAACGAATGCATAATGTTTTTGTATTTACTGCCTTAATCTGCTATAATCTGATGTATCAAAGTACACTAGCACACTGTAGATTGAAGAAAATGTATTAAAACCAGTGTCTAAACTACACTGGAGCAGTTATAAATTATATGGCCTTTTTATGATTTCTGCATTGTCATGTGGTTTGCATTGGAATTTTTACATTATCAAAATGTGTGCTTCTTTTGCACAGACCCTAGAGAAGATCTTTGTCCAGATCGCCTCCACCAACATCTGTGACCTGGTGATGTCCATCGTGATCATGATGGTGGTGTTCATTGTGAAGGAGCTGAATGACAGATACAAAACCAAGCTGCCTGTTCCCATCCCCATAGAGGCTATCATGGTGAGGGAAAACTTAAAGGAAGATACTTCTCCTGAAGAATTTATCTTATTAACTGCAAACCATGCACTGTATACTTTACATTATTACCATTTCAGTTTGTCTAATTAACTACAAATTATACTTTTCATTATAATGATTCCTCAAAGTATAACACAGTTCACTTGTTAGTTAGCACCATCATTGTGTTATAATACAGCTCTAAAAACTCTCACTGGTAGGGCATTCAGGGAAGCTCTGATACCTGGGTTTTGAGAGTCATTTGTCTTAGAATAATTCTACAGTTTCATTCCCACTCTCACAGACTGTCATAGCTTGTGGGGTGTCCTATGGCTTCACCTTCGAGACGAGATATAATGTCACTGTTATTGGCACAATGGTTAAAGGGTAAGTTTCAAATTCTACCGTCATCAGTAGATCATAGGTGAAAATATAGGCTACTTTGAGTACTAAAACTGAGTGAAACTGTTCTTTAATCTTTGTTTTTTGTGAAATATTTGTCCTTAAATGAAACCTTATAAGCATATTGAGAGGATGTGTCTGGAACAAGACAAGGGGCCCCTATTCAACAACAACACTTTTTTTTTTGCAAGGGACTGTACTTTACCTACTGGAGGAGGGGGGTGGCTGGGCTGTGACTTTTTTTTTTTTCTTTTTTTGCTCTTTCTGTTTTTCTTTCTTTTGTTTTTTTTTTTTTAAATATTAATCTTTCCAAAGCTGAAAATATTTTTCCTTTAACCTCCCATTGCAACTGGGGGACAATGTATGACCCCTTCTCCACCATAATCACAAATAAACACAACATTTAGGACTTTTGAAGTGTAAATTCAATCACCAGAAGTAAAAAGCTAACATACATAGGCTATGAACTACACTACGGCCGCATGACTTCAACATCACCACTGCAATAAGGCTGTAAAGCCATGTTTTCCATGATGACGTTCTGTAGTCTCATTCAGCCACTTGTTAGTAACCATCTTTTTAAAGACCCCTGAAGGCTTCAAAATTCACAAGTGGGATATTTAGAACAAAACACGAAAATCTCTTAGGCACACAGCTGGCGTTAGCAGCATATAATGACTGCTTTACCAAATAAACTGTACACAAGAGTAGCAATAAAAGAAACTTGGAAAGGCGGGTGTTATTAGATTTTAAAAATGTACCCTTTCATGTTGAAAGTTAAAAGTAAAAAGTTGAAAATGATATCTTGAAGTTGAATAAAGCCTTTGTAATTCATACAGAAGCACAAAATTGAATGTTTTTACAGGGTCTCCTTAGTCTAAATTTACATGTAGAACGGTTGGGTGGTATCTGTTTTTTCACACCTTAATACCTTCCTGGTTTTCCACCGCTATATGATGATATTTATGTTTACCACTACCCCCATGCTGCCACTTTGCTACATTCTACAAGCTCTCGGCCTTTTCATTCCAATAGATACACAAAATAAACTCACAAAATGTCACGAGAGGTAATATTCTTAAAGCTATTCCCTTATTAAATAGAGAAATACAACCATGCACCTTCTGAATTCATGTTTGTCTCGTTCACCAAACTAAGCTTAATTGCCTCACTATCTCGTCATAAAACACACTTCATTCAAACTCGACAGAAACAAGATAAAATTCACCTATTACTATTGAAAATAATTCTGTTGGGATTACAAAGTACCCTGGTATATCAAGCCTGAAAGTGATTTTGATGATGGAAGCCTTTATTGTGCATGATGTATTGAAGGACTGTCGTAAATCTGAAAATCTGATAATAATTTCTGTTGAGAGGGTATTTAGAATAAATACAAAATACAACCTTTTAAAATTGTATGTCCCTCTCCTAAGCCAAAATTAAACAAACAAACAAAAAAAACCACAAGTCTCTCCCCAGTGCTTAAAGTATTTTTTTGACATGCCTCCCCCGTTTTGAATAGAAGTTTAAAGTAGCATCAAATGGAAACACTTAAGTAAAGTACCTCAAAACTGTATTGAAATACAGTACTTGAAATGTGCTTCAAGCTGCATTTCCCCCACTGTTCTGATCCTTTTAATGCACAGTTAAACCCAATTATGTTTCAGGTATGAGTCACCCACTGCGCCTGATATTGAAGTCTTCCAGATGAGCGCTGCAGAGGCCTTTCCTATAGCCATAGTGGGGTTTGCTGTTGCCTTCTCTGTGGCCAAAGTCTACGCTATCAAACATAATTACACCATTGACGGGAGCCAGGTGAATGATATTAACCCTGTCTATCCTTGTTTGGCTCTGACATAGGAAAAAGAGTTAATTGTTTTACTGACTGATGATGAGAGTGCAAGAAGACTCCTCATAATGTTGGTCATGAAGATATAAAGTTGTGTTGAATATTGCTTTTATCTCAAGGTTTAATGTGAGCTTTCATGAAATAAAAAAAAATGGGTCACACGGAAATCAAAGCAAAGTTCAATTTTTCGTTGATCCATCACAGGAACTCATTGCATTTGGGATCAGCAACATATTTGGTGCAAGTTTCAGGTCGTTTGCAGCCAGCACAGCACTATCCAGAACGGCTGTGCAGGAGAGCTCAGGAGGCAAAACACAGGTGATGAAACAATCTGGGTCACAAATCTTACAAGGTCACTACACGCAGATACTTTTGTCTTCAAAAAGATTCACTGTGATGTCGGTTTACAATCATTGCTTCATTGGCATTCTAAAATGAAACATTAACTGTTTTACAAATGCAGATTGCAGGGCTGATCTCAGCCTTGATGACGATGATTGTTACTGTGGCACTTGGCTTCCTGCTGGAGCCGCTTCCCACGGTGAGACTCACCTCTGTAATCTAACGACTAATGCCATTATGTTTATATATCCTCTAGTTCATTTTGTTTTATGCTAGAGAGTTTGACTTTTGATTTTTTTTTCTGTCACATTCATGCAAATATGAAGTAAGCTCAGTTTTGATTGTATATCTACAGGTCTAAATGTTTTTTTTCCTTTCACCTTCCCTTGATATTTGACTTCATTGCAGTCTGTCCTGGGTGCTTTGGTCATTGTCAACCTGAAGGGCATGCTGATGCAGTTCAGAGAGATCCCGTACTTATGGAGGAGGGACAAAACAGAACTTGTGCGTGTTCACAATGTCTCATGATTCACTGCTATAACTAAGATGTACAATATTTACGCAGTTTATTTCCTCACACAATCTTTCAGTGTTTGACCTCTAGTGTTTGTCTGCAGGTGGTGTGGGTGGGAACATGTCTGGGTGCCATCTTCCTGGGACTGGATTATGGTCTGGCAGTGGGCTTGGGGGTGGAGCTGATCACTGTGGTCTTCAGGACTCAATTGTAATGACACAAGTTATGACTCTGATGTTAGTTCCTTAGTATGAAAACTGACTGAATAATAATAAAATTATGGATTTACTGCAGTGGATAAAAAAACTACTAATACTAACACCCCAACAACAATTCACAGCATCAATCAATGTTTTTGTCCTTTTAAAGGGGCGTCCCCGTGATTTAGTGCTGCACTTCCATTAAGATGGAGACTTACAAGAAACAGATATTTTAAAAAAGTGGTCAAAATCTAAACAGCATCCTGACTTTTAGTCCCTAATATGGGTAAAGCTCAAATAATGAACAAGACATGTAGGAGTACTACCATGGACAATGTGAAAACACAAATGGAGCCTATCTAGAGTGAACGATTAGTTTGTCTGTTAACATAACAAAAATAAAACAATTCTTATTTTTAGGGGACTGTAAACTGAAAATATGGTTATAAATATTATAAACCATGTCTGCCAATAGATGCCTGAAATCCCACACACTGGACCTTTGATGAACAAAGAACCCTGTCTTATAATGCTTTATCTTTGACTGATGTCCAATTCTAGCATCTTTTTTATTTCCACTAGGCATAAGCAAACTACTGGACCAATCAGCCTAATATTTGGCTTGCACGTGAATGACTGTGTGCTCAAGGACCTCTCCTGGTTGCAGTTATTCAAAATTGTTGAAAAACCTGTTTTATTGACTGTTATATACCACCAATGACTACTGACTCCTCATTACTCTTAACTGGCTGATACAGGCTGCAAGTTTTTTTCAAAACAAGAAACCTTACCATCTGTTGCAGGCCACATTTTGGCCTTCATCATGGCTCAAAAACTGATATCAATCAAAAAGTTTGGTCTTATTTTGAATTGCAGCATCTGCAGATTAATTCCATACCCATTATGTTATGATCCACCTAAGTTAGGCACGAAAAGAGATGGTATGGTATGATGGTATGGAAAATAGGTGAGGCATGTATTTTTATTAGCTTCTGAAACATGCTGTGGCACATCTGCTCAAATTATGAGAATTGTCAAGAGAGGCTGCAATTAGCTTGGGCAGCCACCTGGCAGAGATCTGCACTTTACTAAGTGCACTTTTCTAGTTTATAGGAATATTAATTGTATAAAATAAAGGTAATGTATTTATTTTTATCCAAAAAACATGAGTAGTATGACCAAGACTACAAAGACTTCATGTCTTTGCAGCCCCCGCTGTTCCGTCTTGGCTAACATCCCAGGGACTGACCTCTACAGAGATCGCAAAGATTATCACAATGTAAGTTTGTTAAATGAAATCAAACACAATACTTTTGAATGTTTTCAGTTCATATTTTGAAAAAACTCTGAATCGCATTTCCCTTTCCCTCTTAGATATTCGAACCAAATGGAATAAAAATCTTCAGGATACCCTCGCCTATCTTTTTCGCCAATATTGAGTTCTTCAGGGACAAGCTTGTAGAGGCTGTATACACTGCACATCTACTCTCACTCTCTCTGCTTCAGTTTGTTGTTCTCAGAAAATAAATGTATATGAACATAATCCAAACATGTGGTTGTTTCAGGTTGGGTTTAACCCTCTGAGGGTTTTGAGGAAGCGGAACAAAGCTCTGAGGAAAATCAAGAAACTGTTACAAGAAAAGGATGATGACATTACAGGGGTGAGAGCTGAAATATATTAGAAACTACTAAGTGCTTCAAAGTGTTCTTCCAAAAGTTTTAATGGTAAAGTTTGGATATTTTGAAGTGGGTTTGTATTGGGTACTTATCCATAGTCAGTGTATTACATGCAGTAGATGTTAGCCGGCAGCCCAAGGTGCCAAGGTGACCTTGAGCCTTGCTCATGAGCCTTGCTCAAGGTCACCTTGGCAGTGCCCAAGAGGCGCAGCTACCTATCCATATTTTGTCTGGATGGGGACTTGAACCAGTGATCCAAGTCCTTATGGACTGAGCTACTGCCGCCCATGTACTGCTGTGGATGGGGGTCAGTAACAAAACATATTTTGGCTACCTAAAAAAAATCCAAATCCGTTTAAGTGTACGCTGTATTGAGAGTATTGTCACCACTTTACCCTTTTGTAAGACAGCCTGTTGTGATGGGGAAGCCAGTAACAGCTTCAGTTCACTGTTTATGCTCTTTCTATGCTAAACCTCCAGACTCCATTGACAAAAACAGTAATTATGGCTCGGTGAACATGGGTGCTGCTGGTCTACAGCTGTCTCGATCGGTTAGTAATGTTATTGTGTGACTTTGGTGAATCCAAACTAACCACTTTAAAAGCCAAAGTCACACAATAACATGAACATGATAAGTGATCGAGGCAGCAGCAGACCAGCAGCTTCTGTGTTCAGCAATTAAAACACTGTTTTTCTTAATGGAGTCTGGCTGTAAAAAGAGAGATGTAACGGCTTCAGTTCCCCATCAGAAACTGCTGACTCACTGTAAGGTAAAGCGAGAAAATGTCTACATATAGTGTACTCTTAAACTGATATAGATTTTTTAGGTGGCTAAAGTCTGTTTTGCCACTGCCTCCTTCCACAGCAGCACATTGCTTAGCTTCTGTGTTGGACTCTATCCTGCCTCTCCAAACCGGGAGCATGCCAACTGACATCTGTATGTTATACTTTGACTGTGGATAAGTACCTCATACAACCCTACTTCAAAAGTTCTGAACGATCCCTTTAAGCCTACACTCCTACACCTGTCATGCAGAAAGGAACAAGGGATTCATACCGCCAGAAGACTGATGACCTCCTGAACGAGGAGGAGTTGGATCGTCCCACCAACCTCAGGATAGACTGGAACAGCGAGCTTCCTGACAACATTAGTGTTCCTAGAGTGAACCTCCACAGCCTGATCCTGGACTTCTCTGCTGTCTCCTTCCTGGACATCTCTGCTCAGAAGGGACTTAAAACGGTACAAAGTCATTCGGGGGTCTCCCAAATACTGGAGCCCAATAAATGCTGGTGGTAGTGAGGCTAGGAGGGTAACAGTGTCTGGCAGGATGTTACCTCCACCTTTTCATCCAAACAGTTCACTATGGCTTTTGACCTTTCCTGTCTCACATAGGTTGTTTGTTCCTACCCTCTAATACAACCCATGGAGCATTTCCTCAATTAGCACCCTTTCCGGTGGCAGGAGAGCAACATGTCCTTATGCTTAAATGACAAAATAGGACAATCACAGATGACTCATAAAATGACATATTACTGTTACCAGCTGCAGCTGTAGTAATGAGGTTAACGTGATTAGGTTTCGGAAACAAAAATACTTGGTTAAATTGAGGCAAAGATCCTGGTTTGGGTTAACATTAGTACATTTGCAACGTAACCTAAGTTATGAACGAAAGTTAACGTAAGCTAACATAAATATGCTACTTTAAATAACTTAATATAATGTAATGTAATGATGACTTTTGGTATCATCTCGGACAGAAGCAACAGTCTCCGAGGTGAAAGTCCTGTTTGTTTGACCTCCATCCACCCTGATCTCCTGCCAATACAGATTCATCTGACTTCCCCCGTCACCTCCACCTTTTCGTCCAAATAGTCCCATTCAGAAAGCTGGAGGCAGTGAATTTTTGTAATTTTTCTCAAAAGATGACTATCTTTCAGTTATAAAAACTGTTGGCAATTAATTTTTCTTTTGGTCAACTAATCAATTAATTGTTCTGTTTTTTCAGCTCTAAATAAGTCTGCAGTTCCTGGAGCTGTTTCATTATAAAAGCTTTTCATCTGAAGCAGTATCAGCAGGCGATGTTTGCAATACAGTAATGAAAGTTTTAATACTATGAATAATCCAAAGGATACTTTTAAATACAAACAACTTTTTTTGACCAAATTTTTTTTTTGATTTTGGCGATATCCTTTGGTGCAGCACCCTCTCTGCTGTGACACCTCCTGTTTAAGGCTTTACAAAGATCACTTTATAATTCAACAATGTCGTCAAGACTGTAACATTGGACCTTGGATATTCTGTTGATGCAGTTTGGATGTCTAGAGGCAGAAAATATTTTGTGTATTCCAAATTAACAAAACTGGAAGAGTAAAAGACATTGCTTCCTCTACAGCAAATTTTTCTTGGGGAAGACCTTCCAGACTGTGTTCAAGACACCAAAACAAAAAGGAAATGCACAAGATTCAACAAAAATAGGAATATGTTGAAAACTACACTGCCATAATAACTTATGAGAGAAAACAGAAATATCTTCCCTTCTCTAAAAGACCTTAAGATTGACTCAACATGAGAAAAAACCTCCTTTTGCAGAATGATCACAAAGAAGTAGGCGGTGAGTAACCTGGAAATCCAGATGCCCCACCCCTAGCAAATTCAGATTTCTAGATTTGAGTCTGGATTTCCAGGCTAGGTGGTGAGGACTCTACAATAAAGTACAGCCAATGTATTTATCACTCCTCAGCTGTGTATGTACTTCCTATATAAACTGTTTCTCTCCAATGTGAAATCATCTCACAGATAAACTTACCGTATTCTCCACAGACAATCAAAGAGTTCATCCGTGTTGATGTGGAAGTTTACATTGTTTCTTGTGATGGTGAGTTTCATCAGTGTTTCTCAAAAGCACAACATCCCAGAATCTGATGTGAATACTGCCTGTAAAAACCCACACCATGCTTCTCATATGTTGACAGTGTACATCCGGGAGAATCTACACAGCTGTATGTTCTTCGATGATGAGATTCTGACCTCCATGTTCTTCCCGACCCTTCATGACGCCATGCTGCATGTGCTGGAAAAACACAAGGAGGATAGAACCAGAGGCTGGGTGGTAAGAAAAACTATGTATACTATAAATACTGTTTCTATCATTGCCTCTGTACTTAGTTCTGTACTTCAGTCATTACTAAGTCATGGAGCTGAAACTGTCAGCCTCAGGGTGACATTAGAGGAAAGGTCATGGGGTCATGACAATCAAAGGTTTCATTCCCTTGATATAATTAGATGCATGGGTTACATTTACAACGCCAAAATAAAGACAAAGAAATAAAGTGAAATAAATTAATAATACAGTATGTATTTCCTTTTTATGTATGTATTTATCGTAATAACAAATCAAATCTCAACACAGAAAACAGTGTCAAGAGATTCATTGTGTTTCAGTGTTGTCCAGCAGAGGGCAGCATAGGCCAATACTTTGGTTTAGTATTTTCAATCTTTCATAGAGAGAGTCACAGTTTTATCCTCTGGGGAGGGACCATGTTCAACAGTTTCATCGCTAACACCTGGTTTAATATTGACATGCAAGTGTACAGAGTTTATTAGAGGACATTAATAAATATTATTATTGCTTTTTAAAATTAATATACAGAGCAGATTACTCTGCAGTTGCACAGTCACTGAGGAGATAAGTTGCTCAAGAACAAAGTGCAAACGGGCTGATGGCCTCATCCCTAGCATCCTTAAAGGTTGAGACAGTGATTCTGGAGACAGATAATTGATATCAACTCAGCACCCCAACAAATACACCCCTCTCATCAGCGCTCCTTCAGAAGCTTCGTTTTACCGTCACTCCCACTGCCTATTGTTGTGAAGCTTGGTCCAAGATTGTTTCCAATATCAGTACCAGGGCTGAATGCTGGATTCTCTTTCAGCACACACAGAACAGACAGCTAGTGGACTGTGTGGAGATATTTGCTGAATTTGACAAACAGTGTATTGGATTAGAATCACAGACTGCACCTTTAAGCATCACAGCATACAGGGCAGAACAGCCTTCACATATCATCATTAGAATGTGAAAACTTTGTTAAATTTAGCTGTGTTTCAGAAAACACAACAATTCGTTTGAACTGAAAACATGACTTCGTTGACATTTTCATTTGGATCCTGATTCTATTCTAGGCTATTTTTTCCCCCAACACACTGACTCAGGTTAATTTTTAAATTTCATTGTGCCTGGCCTTTTGGGAAGCTTCAAACTTAAAATGTATATGAAAAAAATTAACATAAAACACAGTGATTGTAGTTCTAACCTTATTAATACATTATGATGCTGTGAGATCAGAATGTGATCCAAGCAGAACAAACACACTTTGGAAACTTTGTGAATCTACATGTGTCTTTAAACCAAAGAGACATGCAACATGAGACTTTTAATGGAGTAGATAAAGGACTGTGAATCATCTTGTGTATTACAACAGTTATAATGCATTGATTTTTTTTAACTTCAGGGGCCTGTATCACGAAGCGAGATCAACCTTTCCTGGGTTACCCAGACCTATCCTGGGTTGACTAACCCTAACAATGGCAATCAGGATAATCGGTATCACGACGCTGGATATCAACTCGGTAACTCAACCCAGGATTGTTTTATCAAGAGCCGTGAACGCGCACGCAGCGGACCAATCACAATCATGAGAGAAGCGCAGCGTCACCGAGCGTCACTGAGCGTCCTCACAGAGCGCTGTATGTGAGGGAAAAAAAAAAGTATTTCTCGTGAGGATCAGAGATTAATTCTACTAAAATATGAGGAGGAGAAAAGCAACTTTACAGAAAAGGACAACGCCGTGGCAGCTGCAGGAGGAGGAAACATTATTATTTTCACATAATGTTAAAAACAGACAGTATAAAATTTACAAGATTAAAAAAAGAAAAGTGCCGGAGAGGTTAGAAGCCACTAAAAGCTTATCAAAGAAACTCCCCTGTCAAAACATTAATGAAATCACATAATAGAGAAGAAAAAAAAAACGGGTCAGGAAAGAAGAAATAGAGGAGGAGAGAGGGAAAAATCAAGACAAAACAAGGTAGCAAATAAAATGATGTGTAGGTTAAATTACTCATCACTGGTTCAAGTAGCTACAGTACCTGTACCTGTACATCTGACACTGATCACACCCTTGAATCCCATGAAATCAATGCTGCGCAGATGAATTGCGTGTATTACAATTATCGTCTAACATCACTGCGTCTGATAAATTGGTCTTCTTTGTCATAACGTTATATATGCTACAGTAAAGCTTAAAGCTGACGCCACAGTTAAATCATATCAACACCTAATTGATAGTCTGAATAAAATCATCCTGATATTGAGCTGTGTTAGAAATCAGCAGCTGCGCAAAAATATACCTAGTCTCCCTCTTTAAAAAACAAAAAGGAAAATCCCTCAAACACCATGAAGTGTAGACATGATAGGCTACTTTCCACATTTCCACATTTCCAGCAGCAAAGCTGTCAATTAGGCCCATTATCTTTAACAGGGAGCATTTCCTCCAACAAAAAAATGTTGGCACTAATTAATGGTGCTATTAAGTGTCTGCAAATGATCAGTTTCTTTCTTATGAAGGGGTGGGATGAAATTTCGACTTCTTTCCACTCCTTTTTGAACAATCTTTTCGTTGTCTGTTGTTGTTGCTTTCTTTTATTTTTCAATTTTCAAAATAAACTTTCAAATCAAAATCAATCAAATTAATTAAACTTCCCGTCATGACTGGGCTGCATTTCTGTCAGTGGAGTCATTTTTTTCCGAACAGCTGATTGGCCAGTGGGTGGTGCTTTTTATAGGATCAGATTCAACCCTGAACTTACCCTGCTCCGGAGCAGGATAGCCGTTCAGAGTAAGTTACCATGGTGATCTACCCTGATAAGAACTGAACCGGCTTCGTGAGACCAAAAACCCAGGGTTAACCCTGAAGTTACCTCGCTAAGACATTAATCCTGCTTCGTGATACAGGCCCCCGGTCTCTGACACACTTTGTTGTTTGTTTGTTTTGCAGTTAGCCGACAGCAGACTGTAGAAGAGCAACTGTCCCCAGGAAGATCCCTTCAACCACATCAAGATCAAAATGCTGTGAAATAAACTGCACCATATCATCTGTGGTCAACACATGACCACAACACAATCAACTAAACAAATATTTTGTATATTGAGTAAGTCAGCGATTTTTATTCTGTTTAGGTAAAAGTCAAAGTTCATTTTGTGAGTTTTACAAGTGATCCAGTCTCTGTTGTCACAACTTGTTATTGAAGTAAGCAGTCTTTTTTCCACACTGTACCTTTGCTGAATGCAATATAATTTCAAGATTAAATGAGGATATGGAAGAATTGGAGGTAACAAACAGTTCAATTTGTTCATTGTGTCAATCAAATGCATCTTCAATACTCCATAAATGTGTGGCATGAGGCACCTGGACAGTTAAAACAAGCCCTCACTCAAACTATCTGAAGGTTTTTCAATAATAATTTTAGATCTTTAAATGTTACACAAGATACATTTTTAGCCTAAGATTAACAAAGCTGAAAAGGTGAGGCGTTACTGCACTTACTTAAGTGCGATAACCTTTTTCTGAAGACACTGAAAGTCTGTCAGTGATAGAAGGACCTTAAGGAAACAGACAGCTGCCAAAGTATCAGCTTATTCTGATAAACATGAAACACAATGTCCTGTAGTGTTAACTACACCAGAAAAAGTTAAAACAGGGCATTTGTTTAGTACAACCCATAGGGTGTGATATTTTCTGCCTTTCACTGAAGAGCAAACTAACAAAGACATGAGAGAAACAACTACTTCAACTTGAGGAAATGGTCTTCTTTCATAAAACCTGATTAAATCACCAAAATTAAAGATCTTCTTAAGAAAGCTTCAAGTGCTTCAAAGCTAACTGTTGCTCTTAAGAACCTTCAAAGCAAAAAGACCAACTGGTGATCCTTCATCAGTCATCACATCAAACAAAGATGAGATGCACATCTGCTGTTAAAAATTTATTGAGACATAGTTAGCGTCTTTTAATGTACAGAACAATGCGTGAAATCAGCTGACATATATACAGAAATATTTACCATACGCTATTAAAAAAAAAAAGGGACATTCTTGCTCTTCTCCAAGTCTATTGTATGTTCAGCGGGGAGTTCAGACACTTAACTAAAATGTGCAGCACATACACATTTGCTTCAGAGCAAGTGTCATATCAAAATGAAAGTTACATCCTGTAACCCTGAGGTCTACTATCACATTATTCAGACAAGTGGTATGAACAGAATGACACCGACTGTTGCCCGTTCATTCAGTTGGCAGTTTACTGATAATAAGGCCGGTAGCGGCCCTGATCTGGGTGGTGTGGTCCGGGCATTTGGCCCTGGGGAGGAGGGCCCTGCATACGCGGAGGTGGGGGCCCTCTTGGAGCGGGCCACATTCCAGGACTGAGCCCTCCTGGTTGGCTAAACGGGGGACTGAGGGTGCCCTGGTCTTCAGGGAACTGCTGCATGGAGTTGGGGTTGTAGTGATGAGGTGGGGGAGCATTGACAGGTGGGCCACTGTGTTGTGGTGGAGGTCCTGGGGGCGGGTGGTTCATATAGGGGGGCATCTGGCCCATGATATGGCCCGGTGGTGGTGTGATTGGTGGAGGAGCTGTGGACATGGGTGGAGGAGGGGCCTGGTTGTACACCATGTGTGGTGTACCAGAGGCCTGGGGAGGATGCTGCATGGGGTGGCTGATAGGAGGAGGCGGAGGAGGTGGGGGGCCAAAGTGCTGCTGCGGTGGCGCCATCATGTGGTGGGAGTGGGAGACTACAGGTGGTTGGCCAGGATAGTCCCCGGGATGATGGTGGGGAGGCTGAGCAGGGCCTGGCCCTCCAGAATGGGGCTCCCGAGAAGAAGAGTCATCTTGGATGGGCACAGTGATGAGATTGCTGTGCTTACGGGTTGTTACCGTGGCAATGCGGAATGTCTCAGGACCAAGAGCGTTCGGTGGTGGGGCCTCGTGAGCTGTAGGTGGGGGCGGCTGACTGTAGGGGTCATGGCTGCCGTGTTGGAGCGGGTTGGGGAGGTGAACATGGTTCTTGGGTAAGTGAGGTGGAGGCACTCGGAAACGGTCAGGGACCTCGGATGCAGGGGGCAGGTGCACGGGGTCCTGTCGGCCACTGGAAGACTTGGCTGCCCTCATGTGGCGGTGGTTGACATGGGCCTGCAGGTCACGCTGGGACAGGTAGGTGCGCTTGCATCCTGGCACAACACTGCACATGTAGAGGGAACCACGCTGGCACTGCTCAATGCGCTGCACTGGGTCTGTGCAGTTGTACATGGTGAGGCTGAACACAGGGACAAAAGTTCAGTGACACAATGCAATAACAAAATAAATCTAAGGAGCTACATTACAGAATACTACACACGCTTTTAAGCAAAATGCTGCTACAACAGGTTCAATAAGTATTTCAAAAACAGATTCAGATGCACTGTCAGAAATTGCAATATTCACCACGACACATTTAAATATTTAAAATGTCTCCAGAAAACTTACCCAGGACACATTTTTTCTCCTTTCTTCTCATGGAGCAAAGCACAGTCGTAACAGAAAACATGTTTGCAGGGGATCTGAGGAGTAAGAGGACAAGAGTTACACAGTTTTCTGTGACTGCCTGCAGAGAAAGGGTCAGTTTAATAAAAATACATACCATCCGTCCATAGAGCTGGATAGGAAGACCACATTTATCACAAAAGTGAATTGGTACTTCATCCCTTTCTCCAATCAGATTTAACTGTTAAATAAAGAGGAAAACAAACACAGTTATACATTAAAACACACTCACATACATTTAATCTGACACCATCTGTACTGAGGATTTGTCGTCTTTGTTTGTTCATTCTTTGCGAGTGAATCTGACACTTCCCCCCTAAGGGTTACTTACCACACTTTTTTAAAGCTCAACTATAGTCGTCAATTACATGACATGCTTTTTAGGCATAACTGTAAAATCCTCGACAAAATATCTGAATGTCATTGAAGCAGCAAAAGAAAATGCCGCTAACTGGAACTTAAGTTTCACTTTTAGTTTTCGGCAGAGCTATTGCAACTGCTCACTGCTAAAGAGAGAGTGAAAAACAGGGTTTCAAGAGTGAACTAAAAATAAACTACGACGTTTGGTGGGACGTCCTCAAGGCCAGAACAGACAGGAGAGTGAGAGCATGCTGTAGGTGGTGACACACCAGAATTTAAAAAAAAAAGATAAAGCCCAGCGATTTGTGATCCAAAGTTATTTAAATACAATGACTTCATAAACAAATCTTTGGTCAAAATATAAGACAGCGTTCTATGGTTTATTTGAATTTCAAGGACTTTTTGAGCAATTTGTAAAATAAAAAAGGGATGGGGATGAGATTTTCAAGGAATTTCAATAATTGATTTCCTCTCCTTAAAATTAAAAATTAAAAAAAATTAAGTGTTTGTCATTAATATCTGTTTAAACACTGTATGGGCTGCTGCATCTTTTTTTTTTTTTTTTTACAGATATTTTTAAGGGCATTTTTAGCCTTTTTTTGATAGGATAGTGAAGCGTGAAAGGGGGAGAGAGGAAGGGAGTGACATGCAGCAAAGGGCCACAGGCTGGAGTCGAACCCGGGCTGCTGCATCTTTTCACTCCCAACAGGCGATGTACCTTATAGTCCCAAAACATTGCCTGGGGGAATCTCCTCTGACTTGCAAACACATCACCAGCTTTAGCTCCACAATCAAACCTCTCCTCTTGCTTGAAGCCAAAGCTATCTGTAAAACACAAAAGACCAATATTAATGATACAATACAGAATAACAGAGAAAGCCCTAAAGTAACTAGTAGTGACAATGGGCCTTGATAGGGCTGGGACCAGATCTCAGTGTATTTGCAATAATGGATATCTCTAGAATATCAACAACTAAAAGAAAATAAATAAATAGAAAATAATAGGAATGTTATAGGAAAACAAGACTACATAGTAAGTCTTTAAGTCAATGTTCAAGTAATACTGCATTTGATATCACAATTAAGAAGAATATTATATTGTGTACTGTAGAATCCTCATTAGATTATTTGCGGCCTGTGGTCAATTATGGTCATGATGGGTAATTTATTGCCACCCTCTTGTGGTGCTAAAGCTAAACTGCATGATTCCGCCACAGTTTTCAATTAATCACTGAAACTCCTGTCTCAATTTATATTTACTTTTATAAAGTATGTATTTTCCCAGTTCTAGTCCTGAGACCTCCAGTTAAGAGACTCCAAAGTAAAACAATGAAAACTTTCCTCACTGCATCAATTGCTGGTACACAAACGACATGCTGTATAAAGTCTCACACATCATGAAGACATCTGGCAGAACAGGAAAACTTGGTCAAACTTTTGAACCTCACCAACCCTGACTGAAAGACACTAACAGGACTACCATAGCTCCTGCAGAACGGTGCACTGCAGAATGTGCCTACCATCTTCTCCAGCCTCACTTTTACATGGCCTGCTGCTGGGCCTCTGGGTGCGGGGTGGAGGTTTGCTCCTTATGGGCTGCTTGGATATGAGTTTGATGGGGATTCGTCTGCGTACATCTGGGCCTCCCAAACTCCCAGAACCATCGCTTCCTTGAAGATCATTGTCTGCTGGGGAAAAAGGTTGCGCAGGAAAATGGTGCTTTTGAGTTGTACTAATGCATAAATTTAAATAACCCACAAAATTATAATACATGTACTTGAAGCGTTTTAGTCAGTGTTACACCCATTTGATATGGTTATTATAAATAATAGTGGAGAACTGAAATGAGCAGTGTGGAAGATGAAATCCCACTGAATTTGTGTTTTCTCGTTATATTTGTTGTAAAATGGACATTGCCCTTTCGAAAACAGTTTTAGAGTTAGCTTCCAGGAAATGATGCTCGAAGTTATGATGAGCATGATGCATTGTGGCCCCTATTTCATTACTGAATAAGGATCCCGTATTTTGATATGACTGTTACTGAGGGGGGACGTTTCCCACTGCAAAAGCCCTTACATTAACGTTATAAGTTATGAACGTCTAATCACGTCTTGTAACTTTGGGTATACAACCAGACTATCGACACCGCAATTCATTTAATGTGACCTTGGTGGTCTGCTTCTAAGACCATAAAGTAAAAAAGCCAGGATGAATGACTCATACATTTCAGCAAGTTTTGTGAAGACATGCATTAAGTTATGTCAGCTCTTTGCTAAATCGGTTAGCATGGTGCTAAACGTTGGTAATGTACGTTAGCATTCGCGCCCCAACTCAATCGCAGCTAGCAGTTACGCCTTTTAACATGTGGAAATACTATGTTTGCCATTCAAATTAGCAGCCATGTAAACTCCGCAGCAACAAGGCATGTGACCTTATAGATTCGTTTAGAACTTAACGGTATATTTTGGTGAACACAAGTGTTGTAGCGTTACTCCGCCGCTAGCCAGTTTTTGCTAACATTAGCCTGGACTATGCTAGCTTTAACGCTGCTCTGGGAGATAACATGGTGTCGCAGCGAATCAGCCGACACAGAGGATGATATGTTGTTATTTGTAGAGCTGGCACAACAGCAACTATAACTGCGTGGGGAAATACGTATGGCATAAAAGAAGTTTGCTAACATCGGCCCTACTGGCTATTTTGCTTACCGCTTTGGTCCATGATCTAGCGAGTGAACGCAATGTATTGTGGGATTGAGCGGGCGAGGAGAAGAGGTGAAGGAAAGAGGTAAAGCAAGCAAGACAAGAGCAGAGGGAGGAAGGAAAGGAAGAGGAGGAAAGTGAAAAAAGTTGAGAGATGAGGATAAGGGAAGATAAAAAACAAAACAGTAGAATAAGAAAAACTCAGGACATAATGAATAAAAGGTAACTAAATTGAATTTCCCCTCAGGGGATTATTAAAGTATATAAAATTAACTATGATATTACAAACTCAATGATATTTATTTTATCATTGCTGATATATCTAATAACATAAGGCTCAGTCAGATTCTACTGGTAAGTATTTTTTTTTTTTTTTTAAAGAAAATCAGATCACGCAAACATTACTTTTTTTTAAAAACAGTTTTGTAACTGTTTCTAGCATTCATAACATGGTTTCGTGTCAGTAGCTTCCTGGCTGCAGGGCAAAACATTGTAATGAATCACTGCTATGGAAGCAAACAAAAGCAACAAAGCATTGCTTGCTATTTGGAACTAAATACTTGTTAATTGTAAAATTTATTCACCACTGAATACTTAATTTTGACAGATAAATACCACTGTATTAACTGTATTGAAATATTTTATTTTGAAAACCGCCTTTCTTAATTGAGGTGGTTTGAATTTCCCTCTGTGAAATTTCCAAAAGGTAATTTCGAGATGTGCACTTTCAAAATCTTGACATTATTTGTATGAGGTTCACAGAGTCAAACATCCAGGTTGCTCAAAAAGTAAAAACAAAACAAACAAAAAAACACCTGCGTGGGGCGAACTCCCTTTAATTAAACTGAACACAGTTTGTATTGACTGATTTAATCAACGGCTGTTTTATGCCCACACAACACATTTTACAAAATGTTAAAAACATTTTACGGCCAATCTGTTAGTGTTGTAGCCTATAGTTAAAATGCCATGAAGGTCATTCATTCTTAGTGTGGCACATTGATAAGACCATATTGACGCAATATAAACAAATATATTTTTTTCAGTTTAAGGCCCTTAGAACTTGACTATTAGTGTCGTTTAATATTATAAAAATAACAGTGTCGCACTGTCGCATCATTCAGTTCTCCAAAATGCTTTGCTGAGCTCAGTGCACTGTCTGAAGTCAATGCACGTCCCCAGTGTAGGTCTACTGCGCGCTCTCGTAACCATGTCGCCATTTTGATTCGAAAAATATGACTGAGTTTTTCCTGCTTTGCATGCTAAACTTAGCCCCGCGTTTGAATTACTTTGTGCGTGAGTACGAATCATACACTTTATATCTGAAATAACAGGTATTGCTATTAATGTCAAGTAGCCGTTAATGTTAGGGAACCGTTTATTTGACAGACTTTAAAGCCACATTTGACTAACGTTAGCCAAGTTGAGCTAGCTAACAGTAGCCTGTGCTGTCGCAGACTGACCCCTTCTTCAAAACAAATCACTATTCGCTCACAGGCAAATGTCTGTTAGCTAACACAGCTAGCTAATAGTTAGCTGGATAGCTAGTGACTTAGTAGCTGGCTGCTTGACGAAAAACTCGACTAGCAGTCTAATACAGACGGAAGGAATAGCAGCGGACTTTCAATCAAAGGTAAGTTTTGGACGGAAAGATCGTCATGAGTTTGAACAACTAGCTAGCGTTAACTGCTGCTCCATCGACAAAGTTGAACCCAAGTTGGAGAGCTATTTAACTTGGCTAACTCGGCTCAGTACACGTTAACTATTAGTAGCCGTTTAGCTTACGTGCTAATCAGAGGAAAGGAGGAACTAACGTTAGCGAAACAGTTTGCTAAGTTAGCTAAGTTATTGTCTTTAAATCACCAAGTAACGGTGATGACGAAACTAATGTTGGTTAATCGGCCAACTTTGTCGAAGAAATCTGTTAAACTGTTAGATTACTTAACTCTAGTTAACGTAATATAGTCGATAAATTACGTTCAACATATGTAGCTGGTGCCATCGAGACTAACGTAACTTGTTATCCCACTGATATGTTCCTTATAACACTGCAGGCCTTTTAATATCGTTAATGTCTAGTAACAAACAAGCTAGACGGTAGTAAAGTTGTGTTTTCGGTGCAGCCATTCGGAATAGGCTGAGGCCAACAGCAACGAAGCCTTGCTGAGTTTCTTAAATCAACTAACACGACACAGAGATCAGTTTGTTTGCACCTGAATTCCAGATGAATAAAAAAAGAGGGACCTCGTGTTTAAATGACTACAGTGAGTAGTGAACATTTACCGTAAGATCTGCAATCACTGTAAAGCAAATCTACGTTGTTTTTATTTGTATTATTCGGTAGTGGTATCTCTACTGGAGTTGAAGTAAACAGAAATCTGAGCTCCTACCGCAAGTCAGTTGATGTGCACTCCATGCCAAGGCTACTGCAGCTCAGTTTACATTTCTTTAGCAACCTACCAGTGTGTCTCTTATTGTTAATCAGGCTTTACAAATAGGGGACCCCCGTATATATCAAAATAACATAAACGAATGATGAAGATACATCATTTTATTGTTATTGGTTTAACTAGCACTATAAAATGCATGTGTCATCAGCTATCACATGCCAGGTGCCCATCTCAAGTTATCGAAGTCTGATGCATGGCTTATCTTTGACAGTCAACAAACCCAAAGGTAGTCAATATTGTGAATGGAAGAGACCCAGGAACTCTTTACATTGTGATGGAGTGATATAAAGCACAAGTAGTCACTTGTTTTATTTTCAAAGAACTATTTCAATGTTTTGGGAGTGTCACCTTTGTATCAAACATGAGATATAGTTGTGTTTACACCTTTATACAACTTCAGTGCAGCCAGTGAGTAGCGACAGGCTGAGTAAAATTGTAGCTTTTGTTTGACTTCTGAAGTGCCCCATTTTAGATTGTTTGATCATTTGGTAGTGCATGTCACTATGTCACTATCTAGCACAGTGTGATAGACATTACGTCGCCACCAGTTGCATTTTTCTTTACATTCAGCAAGTATAGGGGAGTTTATGTAAAAGTGTAGGTGGAATTTCCTTGTGCTTGATTTTACGGCTTTTTAACTTGCCTAAGTACAGACGATTGTTGGCTCACAACATCCACACGTATGCCCTTTGTATGTGCCATTGTTCCTCTTTTCATCGTCTGTTATATGTGCCAGTAGACTGTTTTTGTTGAGGTTGCCTCTGGTGGGTTCTATTTTGGATGTAAAGTCAAGCATTTGCTTTCCTGCTCAGTGTCCACAGGGAGCGTTCAGCGGGTTATTATTGCACTTGTGTACTCTGTAAATGTATGCCAGATGGACGCTGCTGCATGTGCAGGGAAGGGTCCTTGTCAGGAAAAAAGGAAAAGAAAAAGGAGGAAGCACTTTGATTTCCCCCTTCAGTTTTACTTCCATGATTAACAGTTGATAGCATGTTGCTCAGAGAGACACGTTAGCTTTGACCAAACCAGTAGATGTAATTGCATTTTGTCACTGCTCATGTGTTAGGTTGTCAAGATTAGCCGCCACGGTAACCACAAGAGGAAAAACAAACTAAACATGCTTGCGTAGTCACAAAAAGGTGAAATACTTGTTTGTCATCATTTAAGATGCATTCTCCAGTTACCATCATCTGATAGTAGGCACTTAAAAGCCTCTGTTGTGGTGCTGATGAGACATGAAAAGTAGATCCTGACCAAATCTTTTTCAGCAGCTGTCTGAGTATAGAGTGATGAGCATGCACACGACTTCCTTGTAGTTCTCAACAACAAGTAACCTGCCTGGTTTTGTTGGGTGTAAGCCTGGGAACTAGCTAAAATATTTCATCATAATTTCCAGTGTTTAACATTGATATAACATAATCTATTATGTAATTAAAGTAAACTTTATGTCAACATCTGACGTAGCAGTAATATGTGATATGGGCCTATTGACTCTAGCCTAATGCATTTTCATAAAACAGAAGAAATCCACAAAATAAGTAGTGTAAAATCGGAGGGATGCACTTTCCTCGTCAGTTTGTCTTGTAGGGAATCCTCACTACAAGTAAACATTCCCATTGTGTTGAGTTAAGTTAAACCTAAAAGACAACATCCCATTTATAATGTGTGGGCACTTTGATGTTCCCAAGTGTCATGTTAAATTACGTTAAAGCTTTTAAACATCTTCTGTGTCTTATTGAAACTGAAATATTAAAATCCACGACAGAGTAATTATGATTTTTGATTTAACCATTAACATAAATAATTGTAGATGTGTTATACATTGTTTTATTCATATTATTCCATACTCTGTCCTGACATATCTGGTATCTTTGTTTTTCTACATTTGGGAAAAGACTTTGCAGGTTTGAACAAAACCAGTGTGCTCAGTCACATTTTTATAATAATTGATCCACCAAAGCAGATGTAACGTTAGACAGGCTAATACTGGGGATGTCTCACAAATCTTGCCTCAGACCCATGCATTGAGTTCATGACAGTGCCTTTTAAAATGTATGTTTTAATTAAGTTTCTGTTTATTGCTCTTAAGTAATACAGCTGTGAAGAGAAGGCTTACATGAGTGAAGTTATTTAAATATGTTTGACAGCTGAAAAACATCCTGTGATGTGCCTGTTGGGGTCCCGTAGGACCAAGAGTTAGATATCATTTGAATTGTTTTCATCTTTTGAACAAATAACTAAAAGCATGTTTAGTGCTACAGTGTAAGTGCTTAGAGATATATTTAAAAAATGATAATTCCTAGCAAGGATTGTTGAGATGTAGTCTGAAGCTTTTATGTTCATAAAACTAGAATCTACTTTCTGTAAATTTGACTTGATATTCAGGTTTGTTGCCCTTATTCCAGAAAGACAATATTCCTATTAAGCTGTCTATATGGCCAATGAAAATTAATATTTAACTAATATTCCTGTTAATGTGCAGCTGTGCATACACTGCTTAACGTGCCCCAACTCTGCTAAAGCAAAATGGAGTCGCTTGTGCTGTTTTGCTTCTTTGCATCAAAATAGGATTTTTTCAAAGTTTTCCATTGTTGACAGACTTGTTGGACGGTGCAAACACAGCCTCCCTCTTTAATTCCTTCAAGGTTAGAGTTGTGATATTTGTGCATATCCAAAGACCTGTTGATATGCAAGTCTTTCATAATGTTTAAAAGTAGGTGTGTTTCTCCCTCCGACCACAAATATGGCCTTTTCTTTTGGGCATGCATCTCTACCCCAGCCTTGCAAACTGTTAGTTAGTTTGTTTTGTGTACAACGCACAGAGCTGACTGTTAACAGGCAAGATGCTGTGTGTTGCAAACTGTAACCCTAAAACATATATTCTAAAACCTGAATAATACCAACATAATCCACATGTCTTAATTTGAAAATGCTACATTTGGATTGCTATTTGCTATTTACATGACCTATATAAAATTCAGAATATAGTCATATTGGGAATAATATAGAGATATTAGTGTGCATGTAAACGTAGTGTCTGTCATTAGCTGTTAGTTGGAATGGCATTAAGTTCATAAATAACAATGAGACTCTTTACCAACAGAATTGTCTTCATGTTAGAAGTGGTAAACATCTCACTGGACTATCCTAATAATCTTACTACTAAAGTTACAAATAACAGGTAAATCAACGTTTTACTCTGCATGGGATTTCTTATCATTCCAGCCAGTTAGCTTTGAGATTTTAAATTGAAAAGAGTGGAGTGCAGAAATGTGAACGAGGACAAAGTGGAGTATTTCAAAAGACATGTAGAAACAATATGTATTGTTGGCACCCATGCAGAGCTATGTCACCAACTTGCAAAACTTCATCAGTCTTAATGTATACGTTCACATACAGTATTTGTACGGATCTAAAATACTGTCTAAACTGTATGTTAACACAGTGTCATTTCTTCTAAAATCTTGTTTCACAGTTGATAAATAATCTCCACTGTTTTTCCTGTCGTGCAGGTTATGGTGAGCCTCTCAGCGTCTCATCTCCTAAACAGGCCTGCGTTTTAAGAGGAGACCCATGCTGATAAATGCCAGGCCTCGCCACACTCTCTGTCGTCTGCACAAACACAAATGCCTGCCTGCCCGTGGGGGAGGTCTGATTAAAGATATCCACATTTCATCCACTGGTACGTGTGAGCATTCCACTGTGTTGCATTTTTTACATTTACATGGACCACAATAGTGCAACTGTTGTTATTGTAAATAATGTAGTATTTCCATTGATCTGGGGACATGTCAATCAATCAATCAATCAATTTTATTTATAAAGCCCAATATCACAAATCACAATTTGCCTCACAGGGCTTTACAGCATACAACATCCCTCTGTCCTTTGGACCCTCGCAGCGGATAAGGAAAAACTCCCCAAAAAAAACCCTTTAACGGGGGAAAAAAATGGTAGTAACCTCAGGAAGAGCAACTGAGGAGGGATCCCTCTTCCAGGACGGACAGACGTGCAATAGATGTCGTGCAGAACAGATCAGCATAATAAATTAACAGTAATCCGTATGAGAGAGAGAGAGAGAGAGAGAGAGAGAGAAAACAGGAGAAATATGATCTCGTTTCTTAGTTCCTGTTCATGCTGATAATATTCAATTCCAAATCAACATTTAAATTTTATACAGCTGAACCTAATGATTGACTGAAGATATCACCTTCACATTATGTCACAGCATCAGTGTTACCCTGCTGTACTTGACTTCAGACTCAATCTTTCTGTCAATTTCATAATGACCTTTGTGGACATCCAACAGTAGAGAATGTGTTGTTGTTCCTGTTGCAAACCTATGAAAACTTTGAATACTCAGTCTTAAATTTATCATTTATCATATTATTAGGAAATGCAGTTTATAAGAACATTTACGATTAATCTCCTCCCATCCACTACGATGCCGAGATCCTTGCCTGACTCTATTGACTTTCAGAGGCTGTAGCAGACTGAGTTTTGAAGCCTTGTGAAAACCTAAGGAATCCATTGGTACCCACCATGTCATGCTAGATTGTCGGGAGAGGGGTTAAATAACGCTCCAAAGTTAGGCTAAAATTTGAGGAGGCATGGCCATTTTCACAGGAATCCCTTGACCACTCACCTCAAGATATCTGAATAAAATGCCTTCTGTAGGTCCCCACAAGTATCCCCCTTTACAGACATGCCCACTGTATGATAGTACCATGCATTATTTTTGCCTGTTGTATATGAATATGTCTGCACACTGGGGTGTGTAAACAGTATTGAAATTGTGTAAGACTGGAAAGTTGAGCTTCTTGTGGATTCACAGAGCCCATTTTTATTCATGTGTGATTATGTTAGCACCATAGTGGCCGTTTCACTGTAGTGAGACCATTTTTTAAATGGACATGTACACTGTATAAAATGACCTATTGTGACCTTTAGGATAATTACAGCCTCATAAAACTTGACAACTACAAACTAGAGGCCTCTGGGATTTAGATGATAAATGACTTTTATATTGACAATAAGGGGGTTTCTCAGCAGTTTCCCTAACAGAAATACTCACCATCCAGTCGCCGAAAAATGCAATGTTATAGTAATCCCCAAATGTCAAAAAGTTTTGGATACCAAATCACAGATGGCATCAACTGAAAATATGCTGCAATAACTTAGAAGACATAATTGATCATGGGAATTGACATCATATACTCACATCATAATGTTCTAAGCCCCTATATACTCTATACTATAAGCCTAATCAAAACACTGTTAATTACATATTCATGAAGAGAAAAACTTAAACACAGTGCTTTGAAATAATCTTTAGGTTCCCAGCTTTCAGATGATGTATATTACTTTTATGTGGCCTATAGGCCTGCTGTTGACCTGCCATATGTCGTGAAGGTCTTATGTTCCCCCTAAAAAAGACAAAAGAGGGTCTGTGGTATGCAGAGATGTAGTGGAAGAGGTTAAGTAAATACAACAATGTTGTAGTCCTTGTAAACATTGTCTATGATATAAAAGGACATACTGCAAGTGATAGTGCTGTCTTGTTGTTTCAGCTATTATTGGTTTAATCCTCAGGCTTACATCTTTGTTTACATCCATTTCTCTCCCCTGCTTCCTTCCCCACCTATGCATCCACTCTTCCCTTCCCTTCCCTTTCCTACCCCTTGCTTGTATTGTTCTCGCTACTGCTGGGCCTCTGTATTCCCTGATCTTCCTCCATCCCTGTGTTTTTGTCCTTTACTTTCCTTCCCTTCTCGCTTTGCTTTCCTATGGCCCAGGGCTGTGTCCCCCGTCCCAGCGGCCACCATGTTTTGGAAGTTCGACCTGCACACCACCTCCCACATCGACCAGCTGCTGGACAGGGAGGACGTGACGCTGAGAGAGCTGATGGAGGAGGATGACGTCCTGCAGGAATGCAAGGCCCAAAACCGTCGGCTGCTCCTCTTCCTCTCCCAGGACCACTGCATGCAGGAGCTGGTCAGCCTCATCACCACAGAGCCTCCCGCCGACCTGGAGGAGAGGAGCCGGTTTAAGTGAGTCTTCAGTGATACAGAATATCATGACGGGGACAGGGAAAAATATACCCTATCTAGTATCAGTGCAACCATTATCAACTGCTATAATGACATGGTACAAGTTATATTGTATCTTACTGTTATCCATTTTATCAGATGGCCTGAATGCAAAAAATGCACTAGTCTCTAAAATGAGCATAGAAAACTACAAAAACTTCCTATAAACTTTAAGCCAGTTGATTAAATGCTGCAAAGTTAGGTCCTTATTGAGTTTGGTTCAAGGTCCTTTTCCAAGAGTCTGAACTCTTCAGTGTCAGTTTTGTCCAGGAAATTTTAGCTGGACCGCAGAATGCGAAGCCAATCAAGTAAACGTGAAAATCTGTTGTTGAGTTAGAGAGTAAGTTAGTTACACCATTGGTCGAATGATTGATGATGAAAGTGTTGGTGTTTCCCCATTGGTCGTTGCTCTTTTGAAATGAAGAGGCGCTGAGAGAGCAGTGATGACACAGACTTCCTGTTTATTTTGTCCCTCAGTGGAAACAAAGCTTTTACTTAAATTTTACAGATAAAAAACAATAAATTGTGAAAACAAATTAGTATTTGAAGTCCACTGTGTGATCTATCCTGGCTTCATATGAGTAAAGGAAAAGTTCACTAGTTGCTAGGCTAATCTATGCAATGAGAAATGTCATAGGCTTATGCTAATAATATTAGCTATTGTATTTGTGTGGAAAATGTGTCCAGTAAAGGGTGATTGTTTTGTGGGTGAACATTGTGAGTTATAATGGAGCTGAATTTGATACTTTTGTTTAAGGTTGTTGCTGTCAAGCCATGTTTTATGTGTGTTTTAGGTGTGTTTGTTGAGTCCTGTTTAGGGTTGGGACTAGTTAGGATTTTAACGATTCCAATTCCTTACCGATTCCTCTTACTGATTCCTACATTATATTCATTATACTTGCTATACTTAAACAAGTATATAATAAACACAAATGCAATCATACAAATACAAAAACTGTATTCTTACTGCTGCACAGTACAATTAGATGAAAATACACATTTGTGTGTGGTGTGTATTTCAGATTTAGAGCTTGTATCATCTCCCTGAGAACATATAACAGCAAAAAGTGATTCTCTGATTTCTATAGTAACACTATTACCTCAAATTAACCACAGCAATGTAATAAAAAATACTTATATGCATTCATGCTTCGGCACTGTTGTTTACGTGACAACACCTGAAAAGAACACACACACACATTGGCTGTTTGTTTCTACCTCTCCCCTCGCTGGAAGTCTCGGACCTCCCGCCGCCTGCCTCCGCCTTGATTAAACGCTGAAAATAAAATAAAAGAGGGAGACAGGTTTTTCCTGTTTTATTTTATTTTGTTATATTTCTCGCTGGAAGCCTCGTACCTCCCACCGCCCGCTCCCGTCTCAAACACGGAGGTCTTTCTCTCCGTGGAGCACCCACGGTGCACGCCCGGCCTGTTAAATAGCCTGTAACCAGAAATATGCGACCCGTGCCGCACTCTAATGGAAATGCATGTGACGGGTGTTTTTTTTTACAATCTAGGAACTGTTTGCAGGAACCGTTACTCCAAATGTGATGGAACCGGTTCCGGAGCCAGAACTTTGGACCCGGTTCCAAAAAAGAAACTGATCCGGATCCCAACCCTAGTCCTGTTACATACAGTCGGTGGGGCTAGGCTGAGAGCAAAACTCTGTGACTGAGTGAATGCTACCACCTTTTTAGGTTGTTGCAGCTAGTATAATTCATTTGAATTAACATGCATTCAAATCATGTATTATCATTATGTACCTTTGATTTAAATGAGGAATTACAAAAATAAATTGCAATTGAAGTGTAGCTAGTGGTTGTGTTCTTTGTTGCATCATATTGTCCCCTTTTAGACACATCAAGGCTCAGATAATCTCAAACATTTCAGAAATGCCACTTTAAAGTCATTAATTGCACCAAGACTGTTTTTCATGATCATTCTGTTCTTTTTTCGTAAGGTTCCCCAACATTGCTTGTGAGCTCCTGACATCAGATGTGTCCATTATAAATGATAAGCTGGGCGGAGAGGAGTCTCTCCTTGAAGTGCTTTATCACTTTCTGGAACAGGACCCGCCCCTCAACCCACTACTGGCCAGCTTCTTCAGCAAAACCATCGGCAACCTCATTGCCAGGAAAACCGAACAGGTATGTTGAAAATGTTCATGGCTTGAGCCATGGTTTCTAGATTAAAGCATGTGAAAAAGCAATCAAAGCGCTGTCACTCCATGTACTGGTTAGCAAAATAGACATACAATACTAAACAGAGGTGTGGTATTGTGGAAAACAAAGACGTTAGGGATTGCTCATTCAGATTCACCCAGCCTGCTGCTGCTGTGTGAAACCTAAGGTATTGAGCACTTTTTGTTTTCCAGGTGATTACCTTCCTAAAGAAAAAGGAAGGCTTCATTGGTCTGGTGCTGAAACATATTGATGCCTCTGCCATGATGGACCTGCTGCTTCGCCTCATCAGTTGTGTGGAGCCCGCCCCTTTGAGGCAGGAAGTCCTGCATGTAAGCTCTCTTAATAACGTTGCTGTGTACTTCCCATAAGTGAATACTAGCCTTTAAAGTGTTTAGCATCATTTCTGGCTTTTTTTCCCCAAGTGGCTGAATGAAGAGAAGTTGGTACAAAGACTCACAGAGCTCATCCATACTGGCAAAGATGAGGAGGTGAGTGTCAGGTCTGCTGGGAGTTCACTGTCACTATGTTGTCATGATGCTCTCTTTGGCACATGGAGAAGCTATTATGTATACAAGCATTAACATAACTTTAAAAGAGTCATCTGTTAATCAGGATTTTCAAATTCAATGACTTACGTTTCAGAGACAATCAAATGCATCCCAAACGCTTTGTGACATCATCCGCCTTAGTCGAGACCAGGCCAATCAGATGCAGGAGAATATGGAGGCCGACCCACTATTGGCTGTACTAGAGTCGTAAGTTGACAACGGCTTTTGATGAAAGTTTTCAGAGAATAAGTCAATCTCACCTTTGTCCAGTTGCCTGTGGTATTTGAAGTGAGTGAGTATTGAAAAACCTGGCTGTATCAATTAGACACAACATTTAAATAAAGGCACCAGATTGGCTTAAATTGATGAAGAAGACAGTCAGACCTTTTTCCCATCTCATGTTAGTTAATGGTGTCACATGCTGTAATTGGCAGGTTGTGGTAAGATGTGTGCTCTTACATGTCCACACAAGCAGGGATTGTAAACATACTGAAACACTCCTGTGTGGTTGTTGACTCCAGATTTGAAAATTCCCCAATCTAGAGTGGAGAGATCTTTAAAAGGTTGTTGTGTGCACAAGGATTTGCTGGCAGAGCCTGTTTGACAACATTTCAGATTTTTGTGCTAGTTTGAGTTTGTGCCCTACATAAATAGCGTCCTTGGTGTACAGCATCTCACCTATTAGTGTTATCATTATCTAGTTTGTTTGTTAAATTTACTACTGCAATAATGTTTGTCTTTCAGGCAGGAGAGTGTAGCGGGGCTCCTCAAGAACATGTTTGAGGGTGAGAGGAGTGAGGCCTCAATTGTTAATGGAACTCAAGTGCTACTTACCTTACTGGAGACCAGGAGGTCTGGGTGAGTCAAAGTGTTTTTTGTCAAGTTTTTAAATTATTATTGTGGGAGATTAGTTAGTCTGGTCCTCCGGGGTGTTTTGAGCAATAAATCCTCATGGTATATTTGTATTGTATTTACTCCTACAAGGAATTGGGAAAGTAGAGGAAATGCTTCCCTTTGCTTACTTTGAAAATAATACTGACTCAGTAACAAAAAGATCATTTTCATAGTTTCAAGTCTTTAGGCCTAATGTTATTGTTTGCTTGTGTCTCCCAGGTTGGAAGGACTGATGGATCTGTATTCTCAGGGTTATGAAAGGTCTTACACTGTCAACAGCAGTATTTTAAATGCCATTGAGCCCCATTTAAAGGACTTCCAGCAGCTTCTTCTGGATCCCCCCAAGGTAAAGCCACTGAGCAGTGCCAAGTCATGAGGCAAAATAAATTCTAAACATAAACACTAGGCATGTGGCAAAACCAGAAATTTAGTCAGTACCAATATCAGTTAAATTCCAGAATTCTTGATACCCGACTTGTTACCATAGTAAAACAAAACAACAAATTCCTACGACCAAATCACAGCCGTGACGATATCACAGTACAACATCACTCCCTCTCGTGTGATGTTGCTTTTATACAACAGTTCAGCAGTTAAATAAGCAAGGCTGATTAAGAAATGTTGAAAAATGAGGACAAAATAGATAATTTAAGCATTTTATTTGTTTTCCACCAACAAAAATATTTCCCTCAGGACTCCGCTGTCACCGTTGCTATGTAATGCAGACATGGTGCGCCAGGCACTTACTCTTTATACACATTTATCTGCACGTTTCCATTAATTGTGCAGCCGGTGAAATAAGTTTCTGGTGACTGCATGGTGGACTGTCGCTTCACAGGCACAGCCGACTCTGCCTTCTGATCTGACAGTATGTTGCTTTTCTCCAAGTCATTGAGCTCCACTGATGAAACACTGACAAACCTGGATGTGTGCTCAGATGGATTCAGCTTCTCCTCTCCCTCATCTTCCTCTGATGACCATTCATAGTTCAATTCAAAACTTATTTTAGGAAATAAATCCATATTTTTGGCTGTTTGACAGTGGATGAATTAATTAGCCTACAACGCAACTGCTGACCTAACTGACACTAACTGTCAGTTTTGATTTGATTGTTGATTGCAATCAGCTGTGAGGCGGAGTGATACATACACAGTGAAATAACCGTGATGTTGTACTCCAATATCGTCATGGTTTTACTGTCTCTCGACCAATCAGATTGCAGGGCCGGAACTAACTGTTGTATAAACTTCAACATACACTCCTTTTATTGTTAATCATTGATGATCTGCCTTGGACTCAAAGTACAAGTCTGTGTAGGTTCATGACTTTGATATATTAATACATAGCCTATGTTACATTATCATACTTATCCTCTATTATGTTGTTCAGCACTTGTACGTGTAGATGTGACTGTTGGTCTTCGTCTGACGCTATTTGTCCCGCCCCTCTCTCACTGGGAGTGGACAGCTGGGTAAAAAGTGACAGTGACGAGTGAGCGTTTCATCCGAAGTTGAACATTTGTCAACTGTCTGCCACCAGGAAAAAAATGCCAAACATGAAGCCCTCAGGGTAGAATAGGCGCGCAGTGCCTCGTCATGCTACTGGTGTTTGTTGCATAGTGTAGGTGCGTGGCGCTCCCATTCGATAGAATAAGCAAAGTACGCAGGCCTCAGGAAGAAACACTTCTCTTTTCGATGAATCAAGTCAGCGCTGTCCTTGTCGCTGCACTTGTTGCTGTCTTCCATGTGTTGTTGCACTGATGTGCTTGTAGGCATTCTTCATCTTCCTTTGGCATTTAATGGCAATCTAGAGCTCTTGCAGGTACTTTCAGTGCTGGAGAAAAACAATTGCCATCACTTTTTCAGAATTTTTGGTGGTACTGAAGTATCGGTTCTCATGACATCCCTAATAAGCACTTAGGAATTGTTTGTTATATGACCAGTATTTGATGGGTTTTGTAAAAGAGATCATAGTTAATCCCATCTTTTGTTATAGTATATATTTTTTAAGTCGACAGATGGTGCCTGTAGGTAGCACACTTTAGCCTTATCTTTGAAAATACTGTTGTAGCTGATGGTGAATTGGAAGTACACATTTTTATTGTCAACAGCCATGTTTTCCCCTCTGTGGTCCAGTTATAGCATTAAAACTCCAGCCTCTTAAGTGTCAGTATTGAAACAACTCTGCTTTTCTCATTGCCTCTGCAGAAAAGTGCAATATTGACGACCGTTGGCGTTCTAGAGCAGCCACTGGGGAACGCCCGCCTTCATGTGGCCAGGCTGGTGGCCGCCCTGCTGCAGACCAGTGCCCCCAGTATCTGCCAGGAGCTCTGCAATCTTACCACCATGGACCTACTACTGGTGAGGCTGAGTCTGGCTTGACTCTGCACATTGAAACTGTGTAGCTCCTTTTTAATTACACACATAGTGAGTATGATGCGTCAGAGCCCTCATACGTTGTTCAAAGGTGTTTTAGAGTGAAGGTTGGTCATGAGTCACAGAGGCACTGATTACCTTATCACACCACCTGACCAAAGGGCAGTGGGTGTGGCTTATTTGGAGCAGGCTCATATAAAACCCTCATGCTTGGTGTGTAGTTCAGCAGACATGGTATTCAAATCCTCCACTGCTGCTCTCGTTAAACAGTACAGAGGCACTGGAGAAGTCATTTCTGGGCCTGATAGTACTACCATGACTTTTTAAAATAACCATGATAGAAGAAAACAGAGCCACGTGGTGTTGCAGTAACTGAATAAAATGTTAAAAAAAAATTTATGTACTGTTGGTACATCTTGACAGCTGCATGCCATTAAGGGAGGGCTCCACTTAATTTAGTGCTGCCTACAGCTGTTCTGTCCTCTGTCGCTGACTTTGCGTGACATCTCTCTCTCTGAATAGGATCTGTTCTTCAAATACTCCTGGAATAACTTTTTGCACTTCCAAGTGGAGTTGTGTGTGGCGGCTATCCTGAACCATCCTTCCTCAGAGGAGCGGCCCAGCCCAGGCCTCCAGAACCACGATGGGAAGCCTGCAGCCTCCAACCCTGAGGCTCAGGGGGAGGCAGCGGAGACAGGCAGGACCAGCGACCCACAGACCTCCATCCACAATGCCCTTGTGGCACATGTAGGTGGCTTAAGCAGCTGTCCTAAACTTGCCAGAACGTTCCCTGCTTTTTTATAATTTACAACTATTTCCATTTACATTCTGTGTTTCTGTTGAACCCTCAGCTCTTCCAGAAGTGTCATCTGGTACAGAGGATCCTTGACGCATGGGAGGAGAATGATAAAATACAGTAAGCATCCCTTGACAGCCACGGCATAGCAATGTACTCAAACGCATTTGCATCAAAATAGAAAGTTTTCCTCCATCACATCTTACCTCTGCAGCTGCTGCTTTATGCATGTCCTACTCAGTATTTATTGTAGTACGTGTATAACTTAAAATTGAATTTTTGTGTTTTTATTTATGTCAAGTCTGTCACTGAAGTAAAGAGAATCATAGTAGTATCAAAATAAGCCCTTTTTACACGGAGATTGTACTATGGTCCCTGCTTTATTCCGGAACCAAATGACAGCGGCATCATTCCGCTCCTGTGTGTGATTTTAGACTGCATGCCGGCATTGCGGAATCAGAAGAGGTGTGACAGGCGTGTAACACAACTGCGTTGGATCCAGTATGACATATAACACATGCATCGGCAGCGCTTTTTAAACAATAACAAAGGCATAACATGGCAATAATAATCATTTACCATCTGTCTCATATGGCAGCTAATCTCATCCTCTGCTCAGAGGGTAAGGAGCTCCAGGACCTCATTGTTTTCCTAATGTGTAGACATTATGGCCGCAATTCTTCCTCTTTGTGTTCTACCAGCTATTTTTTATATCTCCCAAAGTGGGTCACGTGCATAACGCGTTGTTAAAACGTCACACCTGTGCCGCCCATGATCCTATCCTGCTGGCTGTCCCATTTGTACAGACATCATTTTGGCTCTGTTACCACCTTTGTTTCTGGCTCAGAGGCGAGACAACTCTGTCCCCCCAGTTTCGCGATCATACCTTACATACAGAATGGCGAGGTGGCATAATAGCACGATTTTCCTGCCTTGAACAGGCAGTGTAAAATGGGCTATAGGTAACTGTTTCTAATCAGAATCTTTTGAATACCTTAGCTGTAGGATCCCTGGCTAGAAGTCAGCAAACGGTGTACAGTGACATTGGTGCATTGCAGATTAGTTATGATAATGTTATGTTAAGTGCAGTTGTGGCATTGAAGTGAAGTTACTTAATGCCAGTTGAAGGTCATTGTAAGTGTGTATTTGTGAATTTCAGGAGTGAGGGCGGCACCAGGAGAGGCAACATGGGCCATCTGACCAGAATTGCCAACATGGTTGTCCAGAACCTGGAGAAAGGACCAGTACAGGCCCAGCTCACTGACCTCATCAAAGGTAATCACATATTGCAGTTGGCCTGATGCCAGATCAGTTACTGTTTTAATGGAAAAGGCAAAGAAAAATAATCTCCCTGTTTTTGCAGAGCTGCCAGAAGACTGCAGAGGTCGCTGGGAGAGCTTTGTGGACGAGACCCTGAGAGAGACTAACAGGAGGAACACAGTCGAGCTGGTAAGACATCACTCAGTAGCACTCCAGTCCTTCTGTGTGGAAAGCTCTCTTTTAACTTCCTCGCATTTCCTCTTCTTCTCTCCCAGTGTGAGGTCGCTGTGTTCAGAGCAGCCAGCTTATCAGGACAGGAGTGAGCAGCCCAGAACAGTGTCAAAGCAGTCTTTATCCAGCTTCTCAGCTAATTTGTCTTTTCAAATTTGTCATTTAATAAATCTAAGAATGTAAGAAACACAAGTCAGAAGTGTTGTTTTACTCAACAACAATAGTGGCCATGATTATACTTTGCAGATTTATTCCCTCAGTGAGGTAGACAGCAGTCATATCTGGTGATACATTTATACAGGAGAAGGGTACCGAACTAGGCATGTTTCCAAATTGCAGAAGGGCATTTGCATTGCAGAAAATGTATTTTAAAGTTGAAAGTAGTTTGGTATTCAAAAAGACTGTAAGTCTGTAGCCCTTAAGGTAAAACCATGGTTTAGTAAGACAAAGGCTCTGTTATACTGTAGGATGACCGAGGATCTGATCATGGTGTTGTAGTTTTCCACAATTTCATTGTCAATGTCCTTTAAACATGAGTTTTATGTTACGGCATCAACACTGATATGTATTTTCTCTACACTCGGTTTTCACAAGTTAATTTTTTTTTTAAGCATTTGTCATTAACATGATGTTTAAATGTGTCAAGTAAGGCCACAGGGAGTCTGTAATGTTCTGCTGGACCAAACCTCTGCACTGTGTCCTTGCAGGTAAGCACCCACAACATGCACTCGTCCAGCGAAGACGACGACATGGAGAGCCCCTTCCCCAACGACCTGTCTCTCCAGCAGGTAGGATAGACGCCACCATGGAAACAAAGTGACACTTCACACCACTGTTAACCACAATAATGAAGAAATATCCATCTCTAGAAACCTCTTCTGTATGTAATAATATGACCTTAAAAAGTGTCCTTTGACTTTCCAGGCCTTCTCTGACTATCAGATCCAACAGATGACTGCTAACTTTGTGGATCAGTTTGGCTTCAATGACGAGGAGTTCAGCGAGCATGATGAAAATATCAAGTACGTAGTGAAAGTCTTCCACAGCTTGTTGTCCTTTAAAGGAGCAATAAGCGAAGTTCATCATTTCTAGATTGAAGGAATTAAAAAATTGCTATGTGAAGAACTAGAGGTGTAATTTCATCTGGAGTATAGCATGACCTCACACAACCTCTCTCTGTGTTGATCTCCAGCCCCTTGTTTACAAGCCGGTCCGGCTGCGCGTTCATGTACATGTACATTGATGTGAATCGCCACCTCCTCCCTCCTCTCGGAGCCCTTGGCCCTCCCTCCTTATAAAAGGCTACAGCCAGTGAGCAATGGCAGCGCGTATTTTCGAAGTGAAATGGCGGAGTCAAATGTCTGTTTTAATTAGTGTTACAGTAACATTAGGCACATGTCGCTATGTCGATTCAATTAAATTTAATGTTACAATCGTAGCATGGGGTAATGTCTGGAGCTTGAGTTATTAGCGGCTCTGTCCCAGCAATGGGTCAGGCGTTACAGTTGTGTTAATTGTGTTAAGTGAGTAGCCCGGCAGCCCAGCTAACATTTGCAATTAGCATTGTAAAATGTAGCCCGGCGGGCAGCCTGGCGGGCAGCCTGGCAGGCTGTGTTTAGTTATTTCCCTGCCTACTTCAATGATGATGGTACCTGTAATAAATGTAATATATTTGCTGAGATGGAGGTGAGGCTGAGTGACTAGAAGAGCTGTTAGAAGTGCTCCATAGCTGTAAGTTACTCCAGTAGCCGTAGTAGCTCTAGTGCTAACTCCAGGAGCTAACGCTAACGTCCCTACTTTGCGTGAGCAGGAGCCATGAGCCACGGGCTCACGGAGAAGAGTAGGAACGTTAGCGTGGCAGCCGACTAGTGCTAACGCTAGCAGGAAAGCAGGGAAATAGCTAAACACAGCAGAGACTGAGAGTGAGTGAAAGACATCGCTAACTGCTAAACTAAGCCAAACGGCTGTTTAGGTTTAGGCTGTTTAGGTTTATTTCCTCGCCCCTGTAGCGAGTGAATCTGCCTGTAGTGAAACCGGGGCTAACCGGTGCTTCTTCCTCAGGCTCCACTTCACTCAGCTGCCAGCACAGCCAGTTAGCCTCCGCTAGCCTCCCAGCTAGAGGGGGCTAACCGGTACTTCCTCCTCAGGCTCCACTTCACTCAGCTGCCAGCACAGCCAGTTAGCCTCCGCTAGCCTCCCAGCTAGCGGGGGCTAACCGGTACTTCCTCCTCAGGCTCCACTTCACTCAGCTGCCAGCACAGCCAGTTAGCCTCCGCTAGCTTCCCAGCTAACATTAGCCCCGGCTCTCCGTTTGGATCCAACCGGAGCACCGAGCCCTGATTTGTTATTCAGGTTAATGTGGGAAGAAGCAGCGGGTATATCGGGCAGCTGAGTGAAGTAGAGCTTGCGGAAGAAACACCGGGACTGTCTGGATGTAATAGTCCGTGGAGATGCTGCGGTGCTCTGCTGCACAGACGAGGTGAGTGGGGTGGGGGGTGGAGAGCAGAGGTAGAGGGAGGAGTGGCTCATGACACACTTTGTTTTGGTCTACAGGCAGTGCACAACAGCAAACCTAGCGGTGAAATGATTTCGCTTTTTGCCCCTTTTAAAGCCACAGTGTGTAGGAATTTCTCCCATCTAACATTGAAATCATATACTGTATTCAAACAGATGGCGCACTCTAGCGCCTCACTGTTTCAAACACGTATTGCAACAACTGTAGCCGCTGTGTACCAAAAAGCTATGATAACACTGATGAAACCATGTCATCCTATACTACATGGAGTATTCATTCAGGCTTCTACACAGACACACGCGACGCGAGTTGACAAACCCCCTCCTCACCATGCTGGCTGTGTTTACAACGTAGGACTGTTGGGGCGGATGTAATTTGAAACAAACCAATCACGTCTTGTCCTTTGACAACTGACAAGTGGCTCAACCTTACACACCTCATCCCTCTCCTCGCATTACTGCGCCGCTAACAGCTGTTAGTGGCCAGCGGCACTACTGCCGCATAACAAAGTCCCACTCTTTGGGTTGCCTTTCCCAGGTGGAGAGAGCTGCTGAAGGAGAAAGGTAATACAATCACAGGCTAGCGCTAACAGCTAACAGCGGCGCAGTGATGCAAGGGGAGGGATGAGGCTGTTAGTGACTGGCCGCTAACAGCGGCTAACAGCTGTTAGCAGCCAGTGGGACTGCCCTGTGATTGCATTACCTTTCTCCCTCAGCAGCTCTCTCTACCTGGGAAAGGCTACCCCGATGTTGGCCTTTGTTTTTTTAATTCGCCGGTCACGCTGCCTTTTCTATTCCCTTTTGTGCTTTCTTGGCGACAAGGATTCCGTCTCCCATGATGCTGCATATGCATGATCCTGCATTATGCTCAAAGAGTGGGACTTTGTTTCAAATTTGCCAGGGTAGTAGCGAAGCGTCTCTTGCTCCTCTCCTTCGGCTCCTCAGTCACACAGTGCTGGCCTGGCTCTCAACGAAAACGCCGAAGGCGGTGCTGTATGTCCCTTGCTGGCGGGTGTATTCTCAAGATGGCGAAACGTAATGGAACCCCACAGACGACTTACCCGCACAATGTACAAACAAATCCGAAATTCTCCTTTTACGAGAATAAGTCAGATTATTGGTGGAGGTAATAGTACACCAGTGATGACATATTTATTAATGCAGACATCAATTTTTGCCAATAAACAACTGAAAATGTTACACAATGTCCCTTTAAGGAAAACGAAACAAGGTTTGCAACTCTGCATTGAACAACTCGGTGTCTTAACCTATCAAGTCAACACAGCACCATCCCTCTGCATCAGAGATTAGTGACAGATTAGAGCCTCTGTACCTCTGACAGCTGTGTTGTGTTGAGAGGTTGTCCGTCCCATTCATCTCAGGAAGGTCTTGGTGGACTTTCTTCAAATTTGGCACAAACGTCCACTTGGACTCAAGATTGAACTGATTAGCATTTGGTAGTCAATGGTCACTGTGACCCCACAAAACACGTTTTGGGCCATAACAGAGAATTCATACACTAATTAGGACCAAATTTGACAATGGGATAAAATGATGATGTGATGATACCTTATATCTAAAAGGTCAAAGGTCAACTTCACAGTGACATCATAATGTTTTGCAAGAAACACCTTCCTGACCATTATTTAATGCCATATCTCAGGAACAAAAGTGGAGACATTTGGTCAGATACTGAATTGGTGACACTAATCTTGAGTGTCCACCTTGAAACTGTGCTGATTGTGTAGATTTTTTGTGCTACTGGGAAAAGGTGTGTGTGAAGCACCTATGTTTAAGAAATTGTAGCCTCTTTGCAGCAACCTCCACTTTGTGTAGTCCACCACAAGCTCATTGGGTTCTATTGATATTTAGCTTCAGGTGAAACTCCCCATCAGCCCTCTGTACTCTTCTGTCAGGGTGTCCGCGGGGTCTTAAAAAGTATTAAAAGTTGATAAATCAAATGTTGGAAAATTAAGGCCCTTAAAAAGTATTAAAAAGTCTTAATCGCGATTTTATGAAGTATTAAATTTTCTTGGCATTCAAGCTTTGACAAAAAGTAATTTATTTTCCTCCTTGCGACTATTACAAACAACGATGTGTAGGTAGACACACTCGGACTGCCACTCGGGGTGGGGGCTGAGCGAAAAAAAAGTCCAAAAAAGTTAATAACTTAAAAATTATGGCGAAAGCGTCATTTCTTGCAACCCTAGAATTAAGATGAAAATATTCACAAATGAAAAAGCACTTCTGGTTGCTGATAAGTAGTGTTTAACTTTTCATTTAACATTAAAAATTAAAACCCTCGGCGCACACTGCAGTGCAAGCAGACAGATGCGCGACTCAGAGCAGCATGTGTCACTGACACCAGACTTAGGGCCGAATTCACAAAAGGATTGCGTGGCTTTTGCGGCCATTAAACCGGTAAAAATGGAGCAAACAGATACGGTCTAATTCACAAAGCAGAGGGTGAAATGCTCCACTAACTGCGCTGCCAAGCAGATTGCGTCTCGATGCTCCGGTGTTATTTGCAGGTATTTAAATGAGGTAATATGCATATATTTGGTGCAAAAATTGCCCCTTTCTATGCAAATGAGCCTCATTGATAAACAACGTCCAATTCACTAACACCAGCGCTAATAGCCACACGGAGTTTGAGTGAAGTAAATAACGTCTTTAGAAAGCTGGTGCAAACTGGGCGCTCCTCTGTGGAAGCCTCTCGCCCAGACTTTCCAGTGATCGTGGCAGCAGTGATCGTCTGTTAAATCAGTCTGTAAATAATATTTTGACATTATTATTATAATCATTATTACTTCAATGGCATCTGAAGATATTGATGTGTTGAACAGGTGACAGTCTGCGGTCGTTCTCAAAACGCTCTTCTGTCATGCACTTCAAAAGCAACTTTCAATAATTTATTTTACGAAATGGGGAAAAACAAACGTGAACAAAAACGGTTCCATAATTCATATTAAATTCAAAAGGTAACGAAAAAACAGCTACAAGTGAGAGGGAATAGTGATCAAGTGGTCAAACTTGGTCAAATCCACAGCCTCAACCCATCCGACACTGTTAGACTGACTCACCAGCAGACATCACTACATGAGGGTATACAGTATTCAGTACTTTGCCAAACAAAGTCTGCCATTGTTCTGCCACAGTGTTCTTGGCGCAAAGCCAGCATTTATACTTTGCCATGTGGCTAATTGCAATCAGGGGCAAATCAGGGGCAAACTGCACTCAGCTGCCAAACTTTGTGGGCTTGTTTGCACTGGTTTATCATTAGCGCAATATCCTTTGTGAATAGGACGTTAAGACGGAGCAAACTACGGGTGCAAGTGAAGTGCAATTGAAGGTGCTATCAGCGGCTGCAGTTCATTCTTTGTGAATTCGGCCCTCAGAGCGCAGCGGACCAGTGGAAAATGTCACCATCAGCATATTATTTTACATCAGTAAAATTTATTTTATCATTATTTTGAGTCACACTGTTGAAAGAATTTAGTTGTCTCTGTTCAAGCAGGATAATATGTCTCCATTCATTGCACATTGGGCTTTCTATTTCCTTGTCAGAGATGTTTTCTTCGAAGCTTCGAATTTTTTGGGTCAGCCCTAAATCCCACATGTAAGGGGCTAGCCATAAGGTTGTTTTTTTCAGCAAGTTGGCCTTGAATAGCTGATGTTGAGCTGTAGAGCTGTGTTACTTGTTATGACCTAAGGTGTATTTTAATAAACCTGCCTTTGGTTTAATTTATTCTTTCAAGCTTTATTCCTTCTCATCTTATCTGCGTTCTGTTGTATGTTTGTGCTCCATAGATTTAATTGCAAACTACAGCTGTTTCGTAAGTTAAAGATGCATTGCTGCTAACGACAGCTTGAAGTGGCGATGAGGTCTTAAGGTTTTTTTGGAAGGTCTTAAAAAAGTCTTAAAAAGGTATTGAAATTAACCTCAGGATTCCTGCATATACCTTGTCTGTAAATATGGTTTTAAAGCAAAGACACTGGGAGTGTAATATATCAATCAAATTGATGTATAGATTCAGTAATTAACGATCATCTATATAAAGTGAGAACATTGATGTGAATCATCATCTTTAACATAGGCCTGTATTTCCTGTAATTCCCATGGTATGTTTGTGTCACCTTTTTTGTCCAAGCACACCTCCTTCCTAAATATTCAAACAGTGCTAGCAGCTTAGCACCAGGCAGACAACGGCAAACAGCCAAAAGACAACAAGGACTGTTGACTGATATCATCTTATATTGAGGCCAGGCCCTCAAATTGAATCAAATCGAAATCCTATCATGGCAGACTTTGTGATATCTGCAGATATCATATTGTCATCCAGAGAATTGATATGATAGCATATCGTTATGAAACTGTGACTTACAGCCCTAGTCTCACTGGAATCATACACATCAATTTAGGAATAAATTGTACCAAAAATACACTAAATACCTTTTATTAAATCCCTTCCAAGTCTTCCTTACATATGAGTCTGGACCGACATGATGTAAACTGCAATTTGACTGGTTGGTGGAGGCGTACAATGTGAGGTGGTAATTCTAGTTCATTCCCAGATAGGCTATTTGATATGATGTCTGCTGTCTCATACTTTAGTGTAGGTGTTTTGCTCTTTGTTGTTAACACATTCAGCTACTCCACAGCAATTCAATTCAATTCAATTCAATTCAATTTTATTTATAAAGCCCAATATCACAAATCACAATTTGCCTCACAGGGCTTTACAGCATACGACATCCCTCTGTCCTTAAGACCCTCACAGCGGATAAGGAAAAACTCCCCAAAAAAAACCCCCTTTAACGGGGAAAAAAAACGGTAGAAACCTCAGGAAGAGCAACTGAGGAGGGATCCCTCTTCCAGGACGGACAGACGTGCAATAGATGTCGTACAGAACAGATCAGCATAATAAATTAACAGTAATCCATATGACACAATGAGACAGAGAGAGAGAGAGAGAGAGAGAGAGAGAGAGAGAGATGCAGGTAATGACAGTAGCTTACAACAACATTAATGAAAGTAATAATATTATAGTTATAGTTCTGGCTACTGTGGTACAATATGTTGAAAGTATGTATTAGTATCAGACAGTATACTTGTGTGACAATAGTCATATGTGTATAATAACAGTAGAAGTATGACTAATGACTAATGATGGCAGCAGCAGCAGGAGGCATCTGGCAGGACCACGGCAGCAGCACAACCACACACGTCACACTGTCCAGGCACCGCTGCGGTATGAGTTATTCTGAGAGACAGTGGAGCACAAAGGCTCCGGAGAAGAAGCCGAGTTAGTGACATCCAGAATGGCCGAGTTAGCAAGATGCAGTAATAGGATGAGAGTGAGAGAGAGAGAGAGAGAGAGAGAGAGAGAGAGAGAGAGAGAGAGAGAGAGAGAGAGGGAGAGAGAGGGAGCCCGGTGTATTATAGGGGGTCCTCCGGCAGACTAGGCCTAAGTCAGCCTAACTAGGGGCTGGTACAGGGCAAGCCTGAGCCAGCCCTAACTATAAGCTTTATCAAAGAGGAAAGTCTTAAGTCTAGTCTTAAATGTGGAGACGGTGTCTGCCTCCCGGACCGTAACAGGAAGATGATTCCACAGGAGAGGAGCCTGATAGCTGAAGGCTCTGGCTCCTGATCTGCTTTTGGAGACTTTAGGGACCACGAGTAACCCTGCGTTCTCAGAGCGCAGTGTTCTGGTGGGATAATATGGCACTATGAGCTCTCTAAGATATGACGGAGCTTGACCATTTAGAGCTTTATAAGTTAACAGTAGGATTTTAAATTCAATTCTGGATTTTACAGGGAGCCAGTGCAGAGAAGCTAAAACAGGAGAAATATGATCTCGTTTCTTAGTTCCTGTTAGTACACGTGCTGCTGCATTCTGAATTAGCTGGAGAGTTTTTAAGGACTTACTAGAGCTACCTGATAATAGAGAGTTACAGTAATCCAGCCTTGAGGTAACAAAAGCGTGGACCAATTTTTCTGCATCTTTTCGGGTCAGGATAGGCCTAATTTTTGCAATATTACGCAGATGAAAAAATGCAGTCCGTGAGGTTTGCTTTAAATGAGAATTAAAAGACAAATCTTGATCAAATATTACTCCGAGGTTTCTCACCTCAACCTACAGGATGTTGGCTCATATTTTCTTATTTGTCTTGTTCTCTTTCCTCAGTGCCACATTTGACAGAATTGCCGAAATAAACTTCAATCTAGATGCTGATGATAATAGTGTAAGTGTTTTGCTGGTGTCATCAACTCATTTTGCTTTTGCTGTCAGAGATATTATTGTTACAGCTACTGTTAATGTCCCTACAACAACTGTTGCTATTGTTGAGCGTTTGGATGGTTAAAACTGTTCTGAGTAACATATATAAATAAGATACTCTAAACATATTGGTAATTTGTTTATTAGGCATTGTTGCAAAAAGACGACTGACTTCATTTAAATGTTTGTTTTTGCTCAGGCCAATGCGGCTGCTTTTGAAGCCTGCTGTAAAGAGAGGATACGCCAGTTTGATGATGCTGAAGAAGAAGAGGACATTTGGGAGGAAAAGGAGATGAACTATGCAACACAAGTTAAATCCAGAACAAGGTAAACCTGATGAGGTTTTCTACATTTGGGTACCTTCACTGCAGTGTTTTGTACACAAGGTATCTCTGTCTTCTGTCGCTTTCATCTCTTCTCAACATCTGTCCATTGTCACTCTGTCACCAGGTTTGGAGTCTCCCAAACCTCAGAAAGCTCCAGAAGCAGCTTGGAGAACGGAGGCAGGGAGCGGGACCACGGATCTGAATCTGATGAGGAGGAAGAGTCTGAGCAGAACACATCAGAAACAGGTAGCTTAAAGGACAGCAGCTATCCACAGAACACAGCTGAGTGTCATGTAACCTTGGAAACTTTTTGTTCAGTTTGAAAGAGTTATGTTGGTCTTGTTTCCAGGTCCAGGCTGGACAGCAAATTTCAGGGACTCTGGAGGGACTGCAGCATCCCAAACCCCAGCAGGGTGGGACAGCTCATCTGGGGGTGGAGCAGGGACACAGGGAAGTGGCTGGGCCAACTTCACTGAGTTCCAGCCTTTCTCCGGGTAAGAAGCGAACCTGTTAACATGAATTCCTAAGTCTGCTAGGATGGAGAAAAAAATAACAATAGTAAATAAAATAGTAAAACTATGTTTCCTAGGTTATAGGTTTAACTGATGTAACAGTTATCACTGTCAGGGTGTTTCCACTGCAGGAAGTTTCCCAGGGGACCTCGAAGTTTTTGAGGAACTTACAAACTAAACCTGCATTTGAGCCAGGGGCAGTACTGTCCAAAGGTTCAGGGACATTAGAGACAAAGTCTAAAGCACTGACTGACCATCGCTGATTAAACACATACACTGCGGCTGTTTCATTTCATGTACCGCTTCATTCACAATTTGAAGGAGTACTGTAATATCAGTATTTGGACGAGAGTCAGACATTTCTTGTTGTTGATTAACGTTTAGGTTATTCTTCGCTGTTTCTCTTGACTTTTTTAAAAAGAATAAGAAAGAGAAGGAGCAAGCATGCAACATAGGCGAGTTAGAGTGAATGAGGGAAAGGGAGCGGGTGAAGAAGAGAAATAAAACTTAATTGTTTCATGGTGGTTCCGTTCTAAGCAGAAATAAATTGCCATTACATACTCAGTCTTCTTTTCCACCTCTTTGTGTCTCCTTTTCATTTTGTCCAACTCAAACATCAGTTACACAACATTAAACACAAAGAACAATAGGATGGTGCTGTGTTTCTCATGTGTGAAAATAGCCTCTCTAATGCTGCCGTCTGTTTTTGATCCTTTGTTCTAATTTGCCTAATCTTCAGTTCTTCAGATGTGGTGGAAGTGCAAACAGGGAAAAAAACAAAAGGCCTCTCAGTTCCTAGTTTAGATCCTGACAGTAGTTTCTCTGGTTCCATACCTGGAACTTATTTTGCCAGTCAGTTGACCTTTAGAAAGAAGAGCTATTCTGCCCTACAAAGCCTGACAACTAGGGGTGGGCGATATGGCCCTAAAATAATATCATGATATTTCAGGGTATTTTTGCGATAATGATTTTCCTGATGATATGACAAATTAATTAAAAAAAAAAAAAAAAATACACGTTTAATCAGTTCCCAAATACAAAAAATGTACCCTGGTATCTCTCTCACCTTTATGCTCTGCCATTTCTCCTCTAATCATCAACCTGTGACAGGCTGTTATGATACCATAGGTATCACACATTCACATGTGGCAAGAGGATCCCAAATCTCTGGGAACCCAAGGCAGAGCACAGTAACTACGTTTACTGCAGTTTGCCTAGGGTTTTGGTTGGAATGTGTGTTCTGCAATTTTTACACCCTGTTTGCTTCAGAACAGGACAAGATTGAACTAATTTTTTTTTTTTACAAGATAGAATAGACATCCAAAGGTTTCAATTTCAATCTTAACTCAATTTTTTCACTTGGACGCAACAATGAACAGATCAGATTTTGGTGGTCAAAGGTCACAGTGACCTCACAATTGTGACAAATTTTCACACGTATCTAACAGGGTAAAATGATGAAGTGATGACATTTTTTTTATCCAAAAGTTCAAAGGTCAACTTCACTGTGACATCATAATGTTCTGTATAAAACATTTTCTGGCCATTACTCAGCGCCGTTTCTCAGGAACAGAAGGAGAGACATTTGGTCAGATACTGAATTGGTGACACTAATCTTGGGTGTCCACCTTGACACTGTGCTGATTGTATTGATCTTCTCTGCTGCTGGGGGGAATAGAAGTTTGAAGCACCCTGACCCATGTTTTTACAGACATGGATGTAAACTGTAAGAGAAACTTGGCTGGTTCGCAGAGGTATATAACTGCGAGACCGTAATTCTAGTTACCATTTGACATATTGAACAAAGACCAAAGATGGAAATTCTGCAGAAACTATTGTCTTTTTTTTTTTCACAACTTGTTAACACTGCTTCCTGGTTTCTTGCTGATTTCTACAGTACAGAGTCTGATCCCAGGTGCAGCTCTCCTGTGGGCTTGGGCAGCAGTGATGCAGATAAACAAGCCAAACAAAACCACGAGAAGAGTGGTGAGTGTTTACCTGCATGCTTAGAGCTCAGCTGACTGTTAGAGATGCACACTGAGCCCCTAAACACATTCCAACTTAATACACATGAAAGAATTGACTTTGTGATGTTGTCAACTCAATTAACTTAATCAACTTCCTTTTGTTTGCGTCAGCAGATGTTAGTGCCTCCTCTGGTGCTTGGCCCGTGGGAGAAGGGAGGAAGGCTCCCCTCGTGGCCTCAGACAGCAGCTCCTCCGGGGGATCCGACAGCGAGGAGGATGACAAAAATGCCGGCGCTCCTCCCGCCGCAGCCATCGCCTCGGAAACAGCCGGCGCCCCCGGCAAGAAGACAGCTGACCTCAAAAGGTTTGCACCTTTTATCTGAAAGCTTTGCTATCAGATGCTGAGTGGTAAAATCCTCCTCTGTTGCCCAGTCCAATCCGCAGCCGTACATGTAAAGCTGCTCCGTGTGTATAAATGTCTATATTTGTAACATAATTACCACATTGAGATAATTATAGACTGGACTGGGATTTGAAATTACTGGATTCATTCAGTTTTGCCTTTCTAAGTAAAGTATATCCTGGGAGCTGCTCTGGTGCTCTACAAAAAAGTTAAGCTTTAACTGAGAGCTGCAAGTTCAGAAAGTAAAAGTTTGTGACTTGACAGCGGAGTAGTTACTGGCTAACAATGTTACTACTTTTCCCAGTATTGTGAGAAATGAAAGTATTGCAGTGAAGTTATCAATAAATATTAGGGCTGGGTATCTGTATTCGATACCTTTTAAAGTATCAACCAAAATACCTCAGTACCCAAGTAGTATGAAAACTTCTTCAGTCAAGCAATACATGCGTTTGATCCTTTTTGTACCAAGAGCTAGAAAAAAAAAAGACTATTGATATGGTTTTGCTTGCAGCCAATCACTACATGTGTTCTTTCGATTTAATCTAACATGTGATTGGCCTGCTACCAAAGCAGCTACAACCTATACAGTCTGTAGTGTGGTGAAGTCAAGCATGGTGTATTTGACGGAGTTGGCAGTTCAGTGTGTCAAGATGCCACCAACCCGTGAGAAAGCATGGCTCTCCTATACGCCGTGGCGTCTGGTGACATTGTACACCACTGAATGCTTCTGTTTACATGATGGGTATCAAATGAAGTATTCTGTTGATGAAGTCAAAATATTTACCATTTCAGTTGTCATGCTCTCAGTTGTTGGGGGCACACAAACACACACCACTTAACTGTCTGGAGCAAAGGGTGACAGAAGTATTACTGCAGGGATTCTACACAGAATGGAAAGTATGTAAAAGTATGGAATTTAATTTTAGTTATTTCCAGGCCTGGATAAGGAAAGAAAAGAAAATACATTATGGAAAAATATTTGTGTCTTTCATCGTGGCATTCAGAGCAGGCAGCCAGCACTTGATGTTGCTTGATGTTGTTGAAAGCAAGGCAACAAGTATGGCCGTGTGACTGAATGCACAAGGGCTGTACCCCTCAGAACTGTGCGAGTTGAATCAAATATTGCTGTTTTATACGAATATTCAAATAGTCATTCTTTATATATATATATGTGTGTGTGTGTGTGTGTGCGTGTGTGTGTGTGTGTGTGTGTATATAGAGAGAGAGAGTTTAAAGGGGTTCAGCGGGACATTCAGTATGACAGTGACATTAACGTTATACAGTAAACAAGCTAACTACACAAAGCAGAAGTGTGCAACAACATTTCTTGCTGACAGATATTAAAACTTAACTTGACCCTGCAGACTGTGCAGAAACTGTGGTTGACTGAAGTGTATGTGTGTGTGTGTTGTGTGTGTTGTGCAGCGAGGAGAGTCCGGTGTCTCTGGAGAAACTCTCCCTGTCAGATCCTCCGAAAGCTTCAGATCAGCAGCCTGCTGAGGATTCACCTGTAACCACACAGACTGACAGGAAGTAAGTAGCCTCATGTCGACACTGTGCTGAAATAACTCTTTCATTAACTCTTTGATTAGTCATTTTGGAGAATTACAATCGATTTTAATGCATTATCACAAAAAAGAAGCTTGTGAAGATGGTGCTTCGCATTTATATTAGTGCTGCTCGATTATGGAAAAAAGTCATAATCACGATTATTTTTGTCAAAATTGAAATCACGATTATGCGGCGCACGTGATGACTTATTTACATGACAGCATGTCATTTCTGTCTCCACATGGTCGCGCGTTTACAATTGTTCTCTGCTCTCTGTATTGCGCACGGCGGAGTTCGGCCCTGATGTGCACACACACACGCACGCACACACACACACACACACACACACACACACACACACAGACCAACCTCTCTCGCTCTCCCTCTGCCATTTTCTGCACGCTGTTTTTGAAATCTTCTGCGATCACCTTCCACCCACATTATTCGTAGTTCACCTACTTGACTGGCTTGTGGAGTGAATAGAGGAGGGGAGGGGGCAGTATTGCGCATGTGCGGCTTCCGGGTGCATTTGATTTGCAACACAAGACAACGAGAGTAAACTGACAAGAAGCGCATAATCGTTTTATGTCGATTATTTTGTTTTCATAATCGTTGAAAGCCCAAATCGTAATCTAGATTAAAATTCGATTAATCGAGCAGCCCTAATTGATCGTAAATTAGTATTTTTAAGTTTTGGCAAATTGGACAGTCCAAAGCAAATGTATGGGCCTCAAAGCTTCTGATGTAGCCTGGTAAGATCATCCTGATGACGTGAGCTCAGCATTCTTTTTCACTCTCTGTATCAGTCTGGACTTGGTGCCACCCTAAACACTTTCAGTGGGCCGGAATACTCGCCTTGACATACAAACTCTGAACCAATCAGTGTAACAAAACACAAAGGAAAATCTTCCTGATCACCAACTGAGCCAGCTGATAAATCAAGTTTTTGCCAAATCCAGTCTTTTCCAATGTCTTTTCTTTGGGGAAACTCTGCGAATTTTACTCTTTTTGTTGTTGAATTGTCATTTTTGACTCAGTTTCTGTAATAACTTCACTTATTGCTGCATTAACTAGCATTAGATTCAGCACCTGTTGCTTTGGGAGCTGCCGTTACTGTTTTACGTCATCAACTACACCGTAGTCTCTGATTGGCTGCTTACATTGTCAACTATTTTGCAAATCTCAGGTTGTCCCGGCTTGGATTTTAATTTCTGGGAAGTGTTTGGAGTTGCACCGAGTCCAGACTGATACAGAGAGTGAAACAGAATGTTGAGCTCACATCATCAGGATGGTCTCACCAGGCTGCTTGTGATGGGCATTTTATGTTTTTACTGTTTTCTGATATTAAAACACCACGTAACATTGATATTTTCATATTTTCAAAAAATGAAAAGAACGTGCAGTAAAATTGATGTGAAATAGTCATTATTTGCAGTCCTGGTTGACTCATAGCATTGTGCAGAAGTGTTTCCAGTTGTGTAGCTGAAAATAGTGACAGTTTTATTCAGTCAAAAACATGTTTGTCTTTGTGTTGTGATGAAAAACAGTCACTAAACAATCCTGGCACTGTATGAGGGCTGAGGTTAGCTACAGACAGCATTGTGTATCTAACTCAGACAACTGTCTGTGATTTGTCAAAATTCTCTGCTCTAACTTATTTTTGCATCACATTCTTCCATGAGGGAGAGATGAAGGCTAAACATAGTTCCTTACGACTGTGTTCTCTCCCAGCTCAACCCATACACAGATGCTCATCCTCCCAGGTTCTGTGTTTATGTGACTGTTTCCTCTGTCATCCTAACAGAGAGGGAACGCCACCACCCCAGGAAGTGTCGGTCAACGGGCCAGTCTGAGGGCGAGTGCACTGCTAAATCCATCAGTGACAGTGCCGCCGACTGTCAGCCTCCTCCAGAGTGACTCCCCTAAATAACCTCACTGCAACTACGGTGTTTTTACTGAATCACTCGGCCATGTTATTGGACCTGGACACTGCCAATCAACACCAATAATGAGGTGGCGGAACATGTAAAAAAAAAAAAAAAAGATGACAAATAAGAAACAAAACCAACAGACAGGATGGAGTGTAGAGGAATCATCTTCAAAGCCTTTTTTCTGATGTTGCACATAATTACGTGCGGTTTTAATGTAGCAGTGATCTTTGAAACGACAGAATCCGAGGGGTAACATCATCATTATTATTTTTTTATGTCCTGAAAGATTTCTCTCCTACTTGCTCGAAGCTGTTGGAATCCCATTGTTAGGGATTTTTACATCGTCACCCCTGAATGGATAGCACAGGCTAACTTTTAACGATGCCTCAACAATAAATACCTTTTTTTGAAAACTTTTTTTTTTTTTTTTTCTTCAAGCTTCAGAAAAAGCACTTATGCAGCCATTTACTGTACATTATAGCACAATGTAAGTGTTCTACCCTCATCTCTGCTGGCTGTCTTATCTGTCCTCTCACCCAGATCAAGGTTGTTTTCCATTATCTCGTGTTTTTTTTTTTTTTTTTTTTTTGTTCTTTTTTTTTTTCTCTTTGGTCGCTGTTGATGCAACATCTTGTTGTCGTACATCATCAGGTTTCTGAATGTTCTTTTTTTTTTTTTTGTGTTTTTTTTTTTTTTCCCTTTTTTTTTTTTTTTTGTTCTTTTTTTTTTTCTCTTTGGTCGCTGTTGATGCAACATCTTGTTGTCGTACATCATCAGGTTTCTGAATGTTCTGAAGTGCTTCAGGAGGGTCGGAGGAGGAGGAGGAGGTGGTGGAGGGGCAGGTTGATGAACAGAGCTCTAATAGTATTACTGTCTTTTGCTCATGTGCAATAATGTCAATTAGCCATTTTATTTAAAAATGAAATTCAGCATCTTTTTCTTTTTAAAAAGAATCAATTTAGCGTTGGAGACTCATTTGGTGTAGTTTGGGGCAGACAAATTTGGATATAATCTCAACTTGATCATTTTAGATTTTTTAATTTTTTTAAAATTTTTTTTTTCTTTTTAGTGCATGTATAACCGGTTCTCTGTTGACCTAGCTAGTGAGCTAAGACCTTCTGATTGTATTGACCTTTAAGTTCTTATTGCTATCCCCCTTAAATCAACCAAACATTATCTACCTATATTCAAATATTATCTACATTTAAAAGTAATTTTACAAGCAATCTTGAGATTACTATTGTTGTCTGTTCCTTTTTTTTCTCTCTCCACCAAGCACTTACTCACAGGGCGAGAGTGGCATCTGGTAAGAGTGACGCTGTATGTTTTTTTGTTCTTTTTTTTTTCTTTTCTTTTTTAAAGTTTAATTTTATTTGTCTCTGAGCAGCAGGAATGGAAAGAGGGCAGGTCTGGGTTCTGCAGAGCTCCAGGCCTCTTTGGTGTACTTACTTAAATCATTTGACAGCGATCAGGTTCTACGATCATTGTTAAAAAAAAAAAAAAGAAAAAGAAAAAAGAAATTAAAAGTGTCTGGTTGACCACATTAATACCAAAAGCTTTGCTTTGCCCGTCTGGTTGTCGTCCTTCCACCTCTGCAAAGATCCAGGTGCCTGGCCTTGTGACTAAGACAAAGATATTCAGTTTGAAGGCCCTGCCGGATGATTAAGGTGTCATTTGTCCCGCCCCCAACAGGTGCAGTGAATCTGTCAGGAGAGTGAGTTTGCACAAGCCCATGTAATCCAAGGTCTGCAGGGAGGTCAGAGGTCAGGGTCAGCTACAGAGCAGCAGCCAAGGAACTGGTAGGCAGCTACAACAACATACCACTGTGTGTGTGGGAGGTTTTTTTATGATTCAGACTTACTGATGCTTCTCTAATGAAAGTTACTGGTGCTGTTTGTAAGTATGACAACTACACACTGGGCCTAATGCAGCAACATTCTCTGTGTTTTCTCTTAAATTTCTCATACGAGGAAGAAAAATAAGACTTAAGTAACTTACGATGCACCAAAGATTCTTAACCATCTAAATGTGCTCGATAATGAATCCAACTTGATCATAAGTCACCCAGGAGTATAAGTAACACTCCCTGAACACTATATACTGATAGCAGGTGTTGTGCCGTGTGCAAAGACTCGTATTCAAGAATATCAATTGTCACCTGTAGGAAGATCTTCAGTAGCGAAATCAATGTTCTGTTGAATACACAAAATAAATGTGATGTGAGTACATCAGTACTGGTGTTACAGGAAAAATCAAAAACCCAACAATGGCAAAAATTTGTGATGCTGTAAACGCCGTGTCAGCAGTGGTGGATGAAGTATTCAGATCCTTTTCTTAAGTAAAAGTACTAATGACACACTGTAGAAATACTCAGGTTACTAGTAAAGTCTGCACTGAAAATTTTAGTTCAGTAAGATTATGAAAGTACAATTAAAAGTAAAAAATAATAAATGCAGAACAGTTTAAATCAATTTAGTAAATAATGAGAAGGAAAAGGCACATTTGATAAGTTAGAACCACAAAATTATTATCATCAATTATTATGATCAAATAGTTGCTAATTTATTTTTGAATGAATCGACTAATAGTTTCAGCTGCAGTATTTTCACATAGTTTGTGTGCCAAAATCTTCATTTGTAAAGTAATTAAAGTTATCAAATAATTGTGGTGGAATAAAAAGTACAATATTTCCCTCTGAAGTGAAGTGGAGTAGAAACAGGAAGTGGCGTGAGATAAATATACTCAAGTTAAGTAAAAGTACCTCAAATGTGTACCTAAGTACAGTGCTTGAGTAACTGTGCTTAGTTACATTCCACCGCTCAGCAAAGGGACATGCAGTAACTGAAATGAAAAGAAAATGGTTTTAAAAGCAGTAATCTTGGCAATCTGACACGACTCAGCAACAATTCACCCGTCTCATCGGATGGATCTGTGTGATCCCTAAAAACGTTCACTGCGTCGGGCCTCTCAGAGCAGGCATTTAAAAATCCAATCATTCTAATTACTCTGAAACAATCAAACTTTGATCATATAGTATTTATTCATACTTTTTATGATCCTCAGATTTAAAATGTATGTACGTACGTGTCTTTGCATTGGACAAAGAATGTGTGGACAGTGAAAACGAGATGTGCTTTTTCTTATCTTGGAGTCTCAAACATTTGTAACATGTTCTCTTCCCTAAGAGAAGAGCAAAAATAAGAAAACATTAGTGAATCTCAGAAGTCAGTGGGCACTAACAAAATAATAAGTCTCAGATACAAACAAATAAGCAAAATTTGTTTGTGTATGACTTACTGCATGAGGCCCAATGTGTCTATGCTGCTGTTAACAGTTTTCCCAAACCTAAGCTTTTAGTTTTTCAATACATTTTTTAATTCACAACAGCCAGACGAATGTGTATGTTCATGATTTGTTTGCTCTGGCAGATGATTTCCAGCCGGGGGAGTTAGTTTCAGAAGATGACTGACAACTTGCGGAGCCTTTGTGCTTCACACAAAGTATATGATGGTATCATTTTTGGCTCACGCACCATGGCACAGAGGACACTACAGTGAGCTTACTCATCTAGCTTAGTAAAGAGGGGCACTGTTGAGGCATTTTCAAAAACAACCCAGTTGGCTGCATTTAACGTTGAACTTTAGTGTTATTTTCAAATTCTGATGGCAAAAAATGCCAACACTTGTTAACAGACATACGCTGCACATCACAGCTCATCTCTGGTCACCACAGTCTGTGTACATTTGTCTGTCGCCAAGTGCTACATCACATTTCGTTGCTCTGATCGTATGTAGGTCTATTGAAATGCAACCAGAAGCTTCTTGGTCTACGGCTGTTGGTTACTCCCCTGTGGGCTTGCAACTTGCATTTGGTTTGATGAAGTCGGGCTATTGGAAAACACTTAAGGGATTCCATCTCAGTCAACAACTTCCTGCCTTAATAGTGTTTCTGGCATTTTAGCTGATGTCAGAAAGTAAGGTAAAATGTGTGTCTTTGAATGCACCACTAAGGATACATAGAACAACCCCTGCTTTGATCTGCAGATTGTCAAAGCAAAAATGCAACTTTGACCAAAAAAACTCAGCCAGTGTTCACAGTGGTGGATAATCTTTTTTTAAAAGATGCCATTACTTTTTATATCAACAATGCATGAAATGAATGTGTGTGTGAAAGGTGTCATCTGTAATGATAAAGCCACAGAAAGTGATCACCTTGCTGCAGTTCTCCTCAACTCCATGTACTGTGAGGCATCTTTTAGATCAGTGTGTGGTTTTACAGCCCACTACTTGTTAAACTGTTGCAGTTATCACGCTCGTTAGCATCATTTCAATAAACCTGTATGTTAACAGCACCAACAGCAGACAGACAAGACTACATGGTGAACATAGCGTAGCATTTAGCAGCTAAATAGGCAGGTATTTCCCTCAGGAGGTGGTGGAGACCAAACCAGAGCCAAAAGAGAGAAAATTGGGCACTAACATGACTCCAAGTAAATGCTAATGTGTAAACAAAAAACTGTTTGCTAACACTTTCATGATAATAGGTGAGCGTTTGCGGCTTCTTCTGGTCAAAAATAAATTACAAAAGAAATGGACACAAATGGCTGAAAGGTAGAATTCAAGTAACCTAAAAAGTTACTCTAACAATGCTAAGCTGTAACGTGGAGTATACTCAGTGTAAGTTATGCTATGGTCCTTACACCAGCTGATCGGAGCTACAAGCTGCTGAACTAGGTGTGAGAATTCAACCCAGACACAAATGGTATGTTAAACTAGAATTACAGCCTCGTGGTTGCATGCCTCTGCAAACCAGTCAGGTTGCACTTACAGTTAACATCCATGTCCGTCCAGACTCATGTAGCCATGACGTTTCAAATGTAAATGTTGCTGCAACGAAGCTACACATTCTAAAACCCAACAGCACAGATCTATACAGTCAGTGCAGTTTAAACAGTGTCACCATTTCATTGATGTAAACTCTTCTGTTCCTGAGTTATCATGTTGAATAATGTCCAGAAAGATATTTTTGCAGAATATTATGATGTCACGGTGAAGCTGACCTTTGACCTTTTGGATATAAAAATGACTTAATTTTATCCTATTAGATATTTGTGTAAAATTTTGTCATGATTAGCGGATGAATTCTTGAGTTATGGACAAAAAAACACCAAATTGTAATCAGTTAACTGTTGAGTCTAAGCGGATGTTTGTGCCCAATTTGAAGATATTCACTCAAGGTGTTCTTGAGATAGCACATTCATGAGAAAGGGAGGGATGAGATCACAGTGACCTTTGACCACCAAATTCTCATCAGTTCACTGTTGAGTCTAAGTGGATGTTTGTGCCCAATTTGAAGAAATTCCCTCAAGGTGTTCTTGTAGCACATTCACGAGAATGAGGTCACAATGACCTTGATCTTTGACCTGTAACCACTAAAATCTAGTCAATTCATCCTTGAGTCCAATCAGATGTTTTTGCCAAATTTAAAGAACCTCTCTCAAGGCCTTCTTGAGATATTGCGTTCACAAGAATGGGACAGACAGACAACTCATAAACATATTAAAAATGTTGTGTGGTGTTACTCGTGTTGAAACCTGCTGTAATTAGTCAACAAACACAAACACAGATAAACATTTAAACCCACAGTTTTTATTTGGATTCTAAAAACTATATTGACATGATTGACAACATAACCCGGCTCAGAAAGTCATTTCTAATAAAAAAAAAAGAAGAAAAATAAATAAAAAAGGATTATGTCATGTTGCTGTGGTTAATGTAGCTGTTGTAGAGATGAGTAAACTCGAGTGAAAAGATGAGCTGAGTCGAAACTGGATGCAGACTGCAGTCAAAACACAAGGTCACACTGAGCCTCCCCACAGGCACAGGGTTCTGGCTGCTGCTGTCACTTTGGTCCATCTGTTCCTCAGGGGAAGATTATTTTAAGATGCACAAGGTCACCTAAAACTTAACTATGTATGATGATGATGTTGGCTGTGTACTTTAGTTTTCTCAGTCACCAGACCTCCAGCAAACTGTGAATGGATGCTGAAGTGTCTAAAAAGCAACACAGCAGTGATTCAGTCTGTCTGCCTGGTGGTATGACGACAGTTAAAACACCACCGGATACTGAAGCTCTGGACCTTGTTGCTAACATTAGCATCATGCTTATCAATACAGTGGATCAGGCAGCTATTGTAAGGCAATCACAACAGAGTAATAACTACACAACACATTTAGTGACAAGATGGCAGTCACAACAAACCAATGATAGTTATAGTCGACTGCAACTTTAACACCATGCTGAGACTTTCTTTGCTGACCTGTTGCTGATTGATTAGAATTCTTTAAAGGAGCACTGTGCGACATTCAGAGCATATCTTTACACTGTAGGTAAAAAAAAATGCGACTGGCTGCCTAAAAATCCCTGTTGCTATGCCAAACTAGTCTTGCATAGACAGACCTGTCTCCACACTTCATGTTAGTGCTGTGCATCAAACAACTTATGAAATAGCAACATACACACGTCTTTTAAGGTTTTATGTGGTGTTTTCTTTTG